TTTAACATGGTGCGTTTCTGTACGCTATTTTCAGCAACACATGAATAATTATGAACTTTTCCTCCTAAGACGCATCTCTTTTTGGTTGGGGGGGGGGGAAAGGCATCGCAATATTCAGAAAAGTGCAAATTCCAAAGGATAGCTGTGCTGTGGTCTGCATATTGTTGCATATTTCTTCCCCAGCCCTACAAAGGAATCGAAAGATGCAGAAAGACTCGATAAAAAGATGGAGGGTTGATGAAGTGGGACATTCAAGATGGAGGAGAGTTAAAGTCATGTGGCTGAGAGGGACAGAGCAAAGTGAGGGGCGCAGGGATATAGAAGAGAAGAATAACAGCCTTGATGAAAGGAGAAATCAGATTATTTTGATGGCTATCAGCAATGTAACGATTGCAGGAATGGGAAGAATCACAGGAAAAGAATTATGTTAAGGGACAGAGGACTAGAAGATTTCAACAGCATGGACTGGAACGGGAGACAAGGGAAATAAGAAGGAATGACTTGAGATCTCCAGCAGAAAACTTAACCGCCTCTCTCCTGTTGCCTCCACCTACTCTAAAATCCTGTTTCTTAACTATAAGAACTAAAGGGAGTCCACAGATGAACAAGCACCTTTCAAATCAAGGTTTCTTTCAATACAGCTATTCCCCTTTGGAGTAAAGTGTTGGGATGCTCTTTGCCTGAATCTTCCTTTTCTTTTTAATGCTGCAAAGTCAGAGAGCACGCCCTCATAAACCGACCCTGCCGTTTCCACCCGTTGACTCAAGGCAAAATGGCCGGCTGTCGAGGTCTCTCTCTTCGAAGCAAATGGCGGGAGGTACAAACAAGCGCCATCGGTTGAGGCTTGTTCCGTGGCACCCCTAATTCTTAGGAGCCCAGCCACAAAGACAGAAGGTTAAGGCCGGTCTGTGCCGAAACAGAACCACCTCCAAGTCCAAATGCGGTCTCACAATTCCAAAAATTTTCCAGTACATAGAGAACTACGTGTCCAGGGAATGGTTAGAGTGGAACTTCTTCCTAAAGTCTGGATTTCTATGTATAAAAAACTGGGAGGGGGGCGTTCAATCATACAAGCTCCTGAATGCCACCTAAAATGGTATAACCCAGACCCACGGCGTTGTATACAAATGTTGGCCCTAGTCAGAGTAGACCCAATGAAATTAATGGACATGACTCACTTTGGTTCATTGATTTCAATGGCTCTACTCAGAGTTAATAGTTGGATACAGCCTAGATTGACCATCGCAGCACATAGGGACATAGCCAATTTTCACGGCAAAAGTGTGTTCTGAATGCCCCCCGTGCAGAACGAGCCGTGGACTGCCTCTCTGCCACCTATGCTAATTCTCCTCGCAAGCTCCTCCTTCCTTCTGGAACGTTCCCAGCAAGAGAGATGGCAGCTATAGCGTTTAACCCTGGGACTCAAAAGTTATAAGGCTCTCTTGCACAGTTGCCACCCCCACCTCCAGATGAGCTCCTTACATGCAGCTCAGACAGGTGTGAGGGTTGGCTTAATCCCTTCTCCGCTTCCCCCAACATGCCAGTTACAAGATCACGGCCGGGGAGACGGGGAGGAAGAAGAGCAAAGCGGAACAATTGAACTGTACTAGCTCAGATCCAGCACCTAGTCATGCTTTTTAGTCATCTCGATAAATCAACAGAACTTCTAAATCCCATCTGTTTTAATGGGGTGAAAACGTGACTTAACTTTGGCTGGTCCGAGCCCACCAACTGCATCTACTGAAGGAAGTGACATATATACACTCCCAATCCCAACAGGCAAAAATGACCACTAAGGAGATTATCCCCCGCCCCCATCCTATTCCAAAATATACAATGCCGGGCGCTGGGCATCACATTTTCCATCACTGAGCCAAATTCCTGCAGGATCCACGAAACACAATGTTCACTCTCTTCCGCCAAAATTCCATCCTTCAGTTCTTGTCCCCTCTGGTTCCTTTTGGTCTACTCTCCCCCACCTGCTCATCACACACCTCCTAAGGAAATAAAAATCCCTCCCTCCTTTCTCTTTTACACGCTCCATTTTTCTTACAGCACCTAACGTTGGACACTGAAACGAAACAGGCAAAGGAGCAGCCATGAGGAAAAGGAGGAAATTGAAGGTGTTCCATCTCCTGGTCTCCCTTGACTGAACTCTTGTCCCAGTCGTGAACCCTAAAAGCAGACCTTCTCTTGTCCACCACCCCCCCCCACTTTCTTTATTGGCTTAACCCACTAGGACATGGGCTGGGGGGACCACAGAGGGTTTGGAGGGGGTTCCCGGTTCCTTCTCCAGCCCCGATCCGGGGACGCATGCCCACCCCACACTCGTCAGCCTACAGGTGCCACACTCTTACCGAGACTTGGTCCGCAAGCTACTTCCAGCGCTTCCGAAAAACAGAAGCAAAAATATATATATATATTTCTATCCCAGCCGCTAAATCCGAGGGAGCGGAACGGAAACCAGGAACCGGATAGCGATGAAGCAACTCCAACAGAAGGCAAATGCCAAAAGTCAACCCCAGAGTTCACCATCCGTTCCAGGGACGCCGGCTTGGAGAAATGGGGTTTGCCCCGGCACCACAGAGCTCCTCTCCCCGCCCCAGATCTTCCCTGTGGGGCACAGGGAATACGGGGCACCGGTGGCCACTGGGTGCTGGGTCCCTCTCAGGTCCAAGAGCAACACACTGGAGCTGTAATACCTGGGCGTTCGTGATCTGTCAAGGCTGGTGCTTGGCGTGGGGGGAGCAGCGCGATCAGGAGGGGGAGGGGGTGGATTTTTTGTTTTTTTATAAACCCATAATCCACGTTCGCTGTCTCTTACAGCTAATCAGATTAGGTTCTCATGGAGGGGGAAGGTGGAGAGCGGGGAGGGAGGGAGAGGCCATGACAGCCATGTGTCCATGGGTGCCCGGGGAGGGGGGGGCGAGGTTTGCAGTCCACAGCCCGGGAGGTTCAGATGTGGCATTTCAGGAAAATGAGAGCATCTTGGGATGAAGGCTGGTTGTAAGAGTGGAGTGTGTGAAGTTAAGTGTGCATAGTTAAGTGTGCTGGGGGGGTGCAAAGGATGGGATGCTGGTGTGAATTTGGGGAGGAGGAAAAGAAGAGGGGGGGGGCAAAGGCTCACACAACAGGAAGCGGAGCAATGCAGCAGGGGGCAGAGTCTCCAATGCACAGCGATGACCAGGACATTTTGAGAAGAGGACTCCGGCAGGTGAATACTTCTTTCCTTTGCATAGCAACCCGAGGAAGGCTTGGAGGAGAACAGAGCCCGAAAACGCTCTACTCGGGACATTTGAGTTGTCTTGCTTGTGTGTTCTGCGCAAACGAAGCAACAACTGACAAGCAATGAGGGGGTTAACAGAGATGTCAAAGGAGGTAAAGGGTAGTTAACGGGAGGCAAGGACAGGCGGGAAGCAGTTATCAAGCGCAGGTAAGAGATTTTGCAATCTGGAGGCCGCCTGTGTTGCAAAAGCCTTGGGATGTTGCTGGTGCCTCCGTGGCTCATCCTACAGCTTGGGTGACAACACTGTTGGCTGTAGGGATGGGGCATGGGGCTGATGTGTGGAGCCCCACCACCACTGGGGTAGCTTCTTAGACTTCCATTTCTATCATACGAGGAGGGGGGTGTTTCAAAGGAAGAGCTTGGGAGGTCTGCATTTAAGGGCAGCTATGTTTGAAAGCAGTGGACGCGGGTGGTGCTGTGGGTAAAACCTCAGCGCCTAGGACTTGCCGATCGCATGGTCGGCGGTTCGAATCCCCACGGCGGGGTGCGCTCCCGTTGCTCGGTCCCAGCGCCTGCCAACCTAGCAGTTCGAAAGCACCCCCGGGTGCAAGTAGATAAATAGGGACCGCTTACCAGCGGGAAGGTAAACGGCGTTCCGTGTGCTGCGCTGGCTCGCCAGATGCAGCTTTGTCACGCTGGCCACGTGACCCGGAAGTGTCTGCGGACAGCGCTGGCTCCCGGCCTCTAGAGTGAGATGAGCGCACAACCCTAGAGTCTGTCAAGACTGGCCCATACGGGCAGGGGTACCTTTACCTTTATGTTTGAAAGCAGACCTGCAAAAAGCACTCAGAACAGGTAGGTGGCATTTGCACCAAGAAGACCTGTGAAAGTGTGGGCCGTGTGAATTATGTCGCTTTCCGTGGAGAACTGCCAAGGCTCCAACTGCTTAAAGACTCTGAGGATGGGAACTGTGAACTCCTCCCCGGAGTCATCAAGCAGCAACTGCACAAGCAGGAATGCAAAAGGAGGTTTTTTCTGCTCTGGTATCCAAGAAAAGGTTTCCTGAAATAAACAAGTGGGGGAGATTCACGGGGAAAGAACTGCGGTGCAGCCAGCCTTATAGCTAAGAGCAGACCCCAGGGAAGCCTCCTCTCACCACTAGGCATCCAGCACACACCCGTCCAGGGAGGACCTCTCTTTTTTTTGCTCTAGGAAATGCCGATTAGAGCAATAAAGTCTTCTGGAACTGAAGTCTCCAGTGTTTAGAGGAAAGTGTGCTATTTACCCGGGCACATGCTTGTTGATGTGATTTTTATTTGGAGGGAGGGCACACATTGAAATGACAGCAGGGGGTATGTGCACACGCGCTTGTGTCTCTCTCTCACACAATCTTGCGCCCATCTGTGAGAAAGTCAACGGAACTGTTAAGTAAAGTAACCTGCTGGTGGAGCATAAAAGACGGCTATGTGTATTCCAGGACTACGAGAAAGGCTGAATTTCACAAATGGCCTCGGAACTGAACTAACCACCAGCAGAAACAGCATCTTTTGGTCTCCCAGGAATTCTGCACCCCAAATTTCTTTTGGGGCAGAAAAAACTTCAAGGATTCCAACAGAAATGTTGCCATGGGAAGGAAAGGGGTTGGGTCTTTGCTTAATGTCAACAGATACGGCAGAGGGAAGGTAATGCCGTGAGCAGGGAGGAAAATAGCTTTTATTTCCTTTGACGGTGGCAGGAAGCCAAACAGAGAGAAAGAGAAAGAGAGATACGGAAACCGACTGCTCAATAGTCCTTTATTTTAGAAAATAATAACAGTGATAATACAAAAATAATTAACTGTGCAAAAAGAGAGTCAACTTACACTGCAAAGCCAGGTGTGTCTAAAACAGCACACTCAGAACAAAGCACTTAAAACTTCAGGATGCAGCGTGTTGGGAAAGAGGCCCAGAAAGGTTTCGTTAAGGCAGGGAAGGCCTCTCGCCCGCTGCAACCTCCCACATGCACAACTGCAACCAAGCTGCTTTGACGGGTGAACCAGGTTGCCTTGAATCATCGGCCTCCTCTCTCCAGAGAACGAAATGGCTGAAGTTGACTTGAGGAAGGGAGATGGGGAGGAGGGCAGGAGGAGGGACGGATGCAAAGGGCACGGAGCCCAGCGAGGGCCGTCGCCTTTTGCTGGGAATAAGAAAAAAAGAGGAGCTGGTGTTCCTGCCACCTCAAGTCTCTCAAAGCTGCAGGGTTTAAGAGAAAGTTTTGTTTTTCCCAAAAAAGCAAACCCACAAAATCCAACACGCACATTCCATTTTTTAAAAGGCAACATTTTAGACTCCAGGTTGGAGGAAATGGTTGGAGGGTAAAACTGGAGATTAAGGCGGGGGCTTCAAACCAGAGAGCAGCTCCCAGACACACCACCAGAGGCCCAGACATGTCAGGGAAGGGGAGGGGGAAGGTCAGCGTGGTAAGGAATAAACAGTCCAGCTGCGCCAAATGTCATCGCCACACGCCGCCGCCGCCTCCTCTGCTGGTGCGAGGGTTCAAGGCAGGCGTGCTGGAGGGCTTCTTCCCAGCTTTGGCGGCGGCCTGGGGTCTCTCGCGCCCAAACCCCGAAGCACCTACGCGGCGTGCAGAGGCCATCTGAAGAAGGAAGAGGGGGTGAATGACAGTGGCTTTTGACAGACACCCGTTCCTCGATATCGACAGACCAAAACCTCCTATAAGATTTAAGCTTTCTGCTCCCTGGTTCGTCAACCTGCCTCCCCACCCCTTCTCCGCCGTTCCTGAAAATTAAAGAGCAACTCCTACCTCAGGATTTCTCCCGCCCCTTCGAAAAGAATGGCGCACGTACCTCTTTCCTCATGGCGTCAATCAGCTTGGGGTTGGGGTTCCGCCGCGCTTGCAGATTTGCATCGCCTTTGGCATCTGTCCTGAAGCAAAAACACCCCCACCAAAAGGAAAAAAAGAAAGGGAAGAAGATGGGAATGCTTCTTCAGAACAGAACCCAGACATCCTGACCCTGCTGCCCACCAAAATCCTGTACAAAATCCTGCAGTAACAGCAGCAAGAATATTATTGGCCCAAAAATGGAAGCAAGAAGAACTACCAGCATTAGAAGAATGGAGGATGAAATTGATGGACTACGCAGAATTAGACAAGCTAACAGGAAGGATCCGAGACCGGCGAGACCAGAGGTTTACCGAAGACTGGAGTAAATTTACTGAGTATCTGAAAAGCATTTGTGATGATCAGATTACGTTTGTAGGACTACAAGAAGTTCTGAGAGGAGTAATTTAAGAAATATTGTAAAAATGGAAAGGGAGAAATGATTTGTTAGAAAAGGTAAAGGCAATATTAAGTTAAGAATTGCAGGAGAAATAATCAAGGCGGAAGGCTATCAGAGATGCTGAAGGAAATCCAAACAAGGACATACAGCGGTGCCTCGCAAGACGAAAATAATCCGTTCCACGAGTCTCTTCATCTAGCGGTTTTTTCGTCTTGCGAAGCAACCCTATTAGCGGCTTAGCGGATTAGCGCTTTTAGCGGCTTAGCGGCTATTAAAGGCTTAGCGGCTTAGCAGCTAAAAGGCTATTAGCGGCTTAGAAAAGGGGGGGGAGCAAAAAAAATTGCAAGACTCGCAAGACGTTTTCGTCTTGCAAAGCAAGCCCATAGGGAAATTCGTCTTGCGAAGCAGCTCAAAAACGGAAAACCCTTTCGTCTAGCGGGCTTTTCGTCTTGTGAGGCATTCGTCTTGCGGGGCACCACTGTATGTATAATAATTTGTGTGGTATGTCTTAAAAAATTTTGTATGCTAAAAATGAATAAAAAATATTATAAAAACAAAAACAAAATCCTGTACAATGAAATTCAGGCCCCTTCTATAAAAAACCAGGAAACCCTAAAGCCTGTCTCTTTCCTCTGCCCCGCACCACACAGGGCAACATTTCTTGAGGAGCCCTGTCCAAATCCTGCCACCCCTCCCAAAAAAAGAGGTTGTTCTCAGGAAAATGCGCCCCCCCACACACACACCTCAGCCTTACCCATTCTGGCCTATCTCGCGCAAGTATTTATACAGGTCTTCTGGAGAAGGCACAGCCCTGCCTTTGGCCTGGTGGTGCCTCAGCAGACGTGAAACTTCAGCGACCTGTTTTGGGGACAGGATCCCCCCTCGTGGGCTGCGGAGGAAAAAGGGAGGGAAAGATCAGGGAATGGGCCCACAGAATTCATACTAGAGGGATATCCACTGCCACTCATGGGATGGCCAGACACCAGGGTTTTGCCTTGGGTGTAAAGAATCATAGAATCATAGAGTTAGAATAGACCACAAGGGCCATGGAGTCCAACCCCCTGCCAAGCAGGAAACGCCATCAGAGCACTCCTGACATATGGTTGTCAAGCCTCTGCTTAAAGACCTCCAAAAAGGAGACTCCACCACACTCCTTGGCAGCAAATTCCACTGTCGAACAGCTCTCACTATCAGGAAGTTCTTCCTAATGTTTAGGTGGAATCTTCTTTCTTGTAGTTTGGATCCATTGCTCCGTGTCCGCTTCTCTGGAGCAGCAGAAAACAACCTTTCTCCCTCCTCTATATGACATCCTTTTATATATTTGAACATGGCTATCATATCACCCCTTAACCTCCTCTTCTCCAGGCTAAACATGCCCAGCTCCCTTAGCCGTTCCTCATAAGGCATCGTTTCCAGACCTTTGACCATTTTGGTTGCCTCCTCTGGACACGTTCCAGTTTGTCAGTGTCCTTCTTGAACTGTGGTGCCCAGAACTGGACACAGTACTCCAGGTGAGGTCTAACCAGAGCAGAATACAGTGGCACTATTACTTCCCTTGATCTAGATGCTATACTCCTATTGATGCAGCCCAGAATTGCATTGGCTTTTTTAGCTGCCGCGTCACACTGTTGGCTCATGTCAAGTTTGTGGTCAACCAAGACTCCTAGATCCTTTTCACCTGTACTGCTCTCAAGCCAGGTGTCCCCCATATTGTATTTGTGCCTCTCATTTTTTTTGCCCAAGTGCAATACTTTACATTTCTCCCTGTTAAAGTTCATCTTGTTTGTTTTGAAGAAGAGTTTGGATTTGATATCCCGCCTTTCACTCCCTTTAAGGAGTCTGAAAGCGGCTAACAATCTCCTTTTCCCTTCCTCCCCCACAACAAACACTCTGTGAGGTGAGTGGGGCTGAGAGACTTCAGAGAAGTGTGACTGGCCCACGGTCACCCAGCAGCTGCACGTGGAGGAGCGGGGAATCGAACCTGGTTCACCAGATTACGAGTCCACTGCTCTTAACCACTACACCACACTGGGGCAGGGCTGCTTCCGGGTGCAAGCAGCCTGGCCTGGCCTGCCTACCTTTGAGCAAAGGTACTTTGGTTTTGTGGACGGCAGTACTGCTGGGCTGCTGGATGTGAATGGTGCTGGCAGACGCCTGGGCCGGATCCCACAGGGCTGTGGACCGTTCGTGGTAGGACAGCGACGTGCCTGGAAAGGAAGTCGGGAAGACTTTGAGCTCTGGTTCTTTATTTACTTGCACCCAGGTCTTCGGCCAAAGAGGCAGTCCCCACCCGCAGGCTTACAGTCTAAAAAAGCAAAGCAAAAGCCCGCAATGCACAAGGGAAAGGCAACAGGGAGGGAAGAGGAAAATCAAAATGGAAACACAGCCACTGGTTTCTAAACACTTGTTGCAACCGTGACTGGTTGGCACAGCTCAGGGGCAGGAGGTGCGTCTGGCAAAGCTGGTGAAATGAGCCCCCTGAGCGCTGTCTCCCCCCACTGCAGCAACTGGATGGCGGCTGTGAGAGGGAGAGACCCACAGAAGGCAGGAAGGTGGAAAGCTGTTCTGAGTCTGAATAACTGGTCTCTCTAGATCAGAACTGTCTCTGCTAACTGGCAGAAGCTCTCCAGGGTACTGATCTCAGAGTAAGAGTCGAGGAAGATCACTAGCAGCAGTCCAGTGCTCTGCAAACCCTGAATGCCTTCCAGCCACTGCCTTGAACATGCCAGCGACCACCACCCATAGGGAGATGCACCACCCCCGGGTGTTAGGATATAGTTCCGTTCCACCTTAAAAGGGAACAGGCAGGACTGTTGTGTGTCACATGCCTGTTTACTTCCAGCACTTGCTGGGAACTTCCGTTTTGTATACTGCTTTTGCTTCCTGCTGTTTTGCTGGAGATGAAGGGAAGCAGACATGTTTTCCTTTGTTCCTGAACTATGTTGAATAAAATGCTGTACATCATGCTTACACATTTCTCTGTCCGCCTCTTCTGCTGTGAGAAGATTTACACACTCTGCTGATAGAGCGTGCATGGGTCTCTAAACGTATCTGAGGCTCATGTCGCTGATTGATGCTGTTCCAAGGGAGACCGACTGCCTGCCGGTGGCTGGAGCCAGCTGGGGGCCTGCCTGATGCCCCCATCTTCCCAGCAGTATCCCAACAACAGGTGGGCGCAGCAAGGGGTTGGGGAGTGAGCGAGGGGCAGCCAGGAGCCACAAGAGGACCGCAGAGCTCCCTTGTGAAGAAGGAGAAGGGGCCTGGGGCCTGCTCTTACCAAACTGCGTCTGGTTCGCGGCAGGTGGTGGGCTGTCCGTGGAGACTCCTTCCCGCTTCTGCGCAGCAGTTTCATATGCAGAGCGGTCCAAAATCTGGAGAGTGGTGAGGAGACAGGAGTTAGGGGTGCATCCTTCCCTCCCTCCTACACACCCATCTCCTCCTTGGCCAAAGGAATCAACAAGGAAGCGGTCTCCTAAGACGTTTATGCTACAGAAATAATTAACAGCCAAGAATTCACTGTGGGTAAGAACTGAAGATTGAAATAAAATAAAGTAAGCCTAGAATAAGTGTCTTTCAAGCAACCTGATTAAAAACAAAATATTTATATTTAACACCACCATGATGCACTTAAAACTTAGAGTCACTTAAAACTGAATTATGTCCCATCTTACCATGAGTCAAAGGGTGCTTTTCTGTGTAAAAAAGAGCCACTATCAGGATTCTGAAGCTAAGTACAGTCGTACCTTGGTTTTCGAAGAGCTTAGTTCTTGAACGTTTTGGCTCCAGAACGTCGCAAACCCGGAAGTGAGTGTTCCAGTTTGTGAACTATTTTTGGAAGTCGAACGTCCGATGGGGCTTCCATGGCTTCCGATTGGCTGCAGGAGCTTCCTGCAGCCTATCAAAAATCATGCTTTGGTTTCTGAACGTTTTGGAAGTCGAATGGACTACCAGAACGGGTTCCGTTCAACTTCTAAGGTACAACTGTATTATAAAAGGATGCAAGCCACACATTACATACCCTCCAACATTCCTCAGATGACAATAGGGCATCTCTCTCTCTTTCACACACACACACACACACACACACACACACACTCTCCTCGACCCCCCCATTTTTATGTCCCCACAGAGCATTTCCTATCAGAAGAAGGGTGAGGGCGGCTACACCAAAATGATGCACTTCCAGATGAGACGGCTTGATTTGAAATCAGCCCAGCCTGCGAGGAAGGACTCCCATCATCACAGCTCCCTCCCACCCCTACAGACTGAAAAGAGAAAGAGCAGAGATTAGGATCACGGCGACACACACCAAACGCAAGTAGTAATTCAAGTCGGGCTGAGGCACTTGAGCTCCACCCTCCAAACTGCTCTGCTGGAGGGTCTCTCCCTCGTGGCCTGCTGCCTCAGTCACGGTCTCATCTGTGTCATCCGTGAACGGGTGCTCTGCCAGGTTATCAGGGTGGAAAGGCAGACCTGAAGCAGGCAAGAGAGAGAGAGAGAAACAGAGAAATATGGGAGGCCCAGGTTTAAATATCTGCTCAGTTGCAAAAGCCCACTGTGGGCAAATCACTTGCTGCTTTCAGTCCCCTTGCATTTTAACTTTCTTTTTTAAAAACCACCTATTTCCAGGTAAAATTCAGCGATTCTTCAGCTGTGATTCCTGCACTGCAGGGCTTGGACTAGATGACCCTACAATTTCTATGTCACTGTGGGTTAAACCACAGAGCCTAGGACTTGCCGATCAGAAGGTCGGCGGTTCGAATCCCCGCAACGGGGTGAGCTCCCGTTGCTCGGTCCCTGCTCCTGCCAACCTAGCAGTTCGAAAGCACATCAAAGTGCAAGTGGATAAATAAGTACCGCTCCGGCAGGAAGGTAAAGGGCATTTCCGTGCGCTGCTCTGGTTCGCCAGAAGCGGCTTAGTCATGCTGGCCACATGACCCGGAAGCTGTACGCCGGCTCCCTCGACCAGTAAAGCGAGATGAGCGCCACAACCCCAGAGTCTGTCACGACTGCACCTAATGGTCAGGGGTCCCTTTACCTTTATGCCTTTATGAAGGGCAGCCATGCGGATAAAATATTTCCACAGCATGAATGCAAGTCAAAGAAGAGAAATTGACGGGCCTGACACTTTGGCCTATATATGCTTTCAAAAAAGTTGCAGTTGTTCCACAATGACATGAACAAAAGTCCTCACAATGGGTGGTATTAAGTGGCGCTACGTTTTACTCGCGAGCAGATCCATTGAAATTACTGGACTTGACCCAAGGCGCACCTGCTACAGAGCTGTCCACCTGCGGTTCCAGCTGCTGGAAGCCCGGCTGGCTGAGGAGGCTGTAGTTGAAAACGTGGCTGAACTCCGAGGAGAGACGCCCCATGTCTGGGAGCAAGGGGAGCAGATGGCGGTAAGCATCCTGCAGGGACTTCTCGGGGGCATCCGGTGGACCCCGTGAAGAGCTGCGCTGGGCGGCAGGCTGGAGGGGGACTGCCTGCGCCCACACCGACCCCTCGCAGTCCCCCGCCCCTTGGCTGCTCCCAAGAGATTCCGCCTTCTGGGTCTTCGCCAGCGATTCGGAGGGCTGCGGAAGCTCCAGGTTGGAGGGGGTGTCCTATGGAAGGAGGGTAAGGGGTTAAAAGACAGCAAGCTCCGAAGGCAGCACTGCTCAGTCCCCTCCCCCTCAATAAAGCACCCTGCAGCTAAAAGGAAAGTACCGTATTTTTCGCTCTATAAGACGCACCAGACCACAAGACGCACCTAGTTTTTGGAGGAGGAAAACAAGAAAAAAAATATTCTGAATCTCAGAAGCCAGAACAGCAAGAGGGATCGCTGCGCAGCGAAAGCAGCGATCCCTCTTGCTGTTCTGGCTTCTGGGATAGCTGCGCAGCCTGCATTCGCCCCATAAGACGCACACACATTTCCCCTTACTTTTTAGGAGGGGAAAAGTGAGTCTTATAGAGCAAAAAATACGCAATGGAAATTGAGCAGCAACATGAATCTCTTCTTAACGAAGAATTGAGCAACAAATCTACAGGGTTCTTAGAGCCTGGTGGATTTTACAAAGGATCTGCTCAAAGGCAAGGGAGCTCTGGAAATTTTGCAACGTTGATCTTGCTGCGATTCACCAGTGTTCGAATCCCCACTTAAGCCATGAAGCACAATGGATGCCTGGATCAGCCGCTGCCCCTCAGCCTAGCCTACCTCACAGGGTTATTGCGAGGATAAAATTGGGGGGGGGGGAGAGAGAGCCCTGCACATGACCTTGAGCTCCCAGGAGGAAAAAGTGGCATTGAAATGCAATAAATAAGCTAACTAGGTTGTGGGATATTGAACGCCAAGAACTAACAGTAGCAGCAGAGAAAACATGCTCCCCTCTTTATTTTCAACTTTCTTGGGCACATGAAACTAACCACAATCTCCTTGAATTTCTGCTTAACCCTCCAGAAAGAAGGGCGTTTTCGCTGGCCAGGTTTAATTCAAATCCATCAAACCTTATGTGGGGAAGGTTCTCAGGCAGGGTGGAAGGAGAAAGAACTTGCCCAGGTGAAGACCACCTAGTGGAAACCCTCACACATATGGTTCTTAATTGTAAACTGTACGCTGATCTCCGTCAGCAATTTCTAGATCAACTCTGCATCCCCAAATGGAAACCAGCCAGAGGTCATACATTTTCTCTTACTGGGGAATGATCAGGATCTCACCAAGTTAGTGGCTAAATATCTCTATTTGGTTTTTTGTTGTTGAAATACACTGCAGACGTCTGATCTCCCTGGAGACCAAGAGATGTGGCGATAGACTGCTCTGCCTCCTTTTTTTAAGCAAATGTTTTGTGCCACTGGGGAAGTGGTAATTCTGCATTGATTTGTTTTGGATGCTGTATGTGATGCCAATAAAGGTTTTACGATACAATACGAATAAATAAACTAACCAGGATAGTGTCGTGAAGCTGCTACTGCAGGTGAGGCTTCGGAAGGTGGGGGAAACTGGTCTAAGGTCACTCAGTGAGTTCCAAGCCCAAGAGTCAAACCAGGAATCCCAAGCTCATTCTCTCAGCCCCGCCTTCACCACCCTCCAGATGCTTCAGAAGAACGGAGCAATATGGTTCAGGTAAGACACAGTGATCACGTACAGCAAAGGGATGTGGGAGCAGGAGTCAGTTTTAGCAGTTACTAGAATGATAAAATCATAGAGTTGGAATAGACCACAAGGGCCATCGAGTCCAACCCCCTGCCAAGCAGGAAACACCATCAGAGCACTCCTGACATATGGTTGTCAAGCCTCTGCTTAAAGACCTCCAAAGAAGGAGACTCCACCACACTCCTTGGCAGCAAATTCCACTGTCGAACAGCTCTTACTGTCAGGAAGTTCTTCCTAATGTTTAGGTGGAATCTTCTTTCTTGTAGTTTGGATCCATTGCTCCGTGTCCGCTTCTCTGGAGCAGCAGAAAACAACCTTTCTCCCTCCTCTATACTAAATCGTGAAGCTGAGGCTCCAAGACTTTGGCCACCTCATGAGAAGAGAAGACTCCCTGGAAAAGACCCTGATGTTGGGAAAGATGGAGGGCACAAGGAGAAGGGGACAGCAGAGGATGAGATGGTGGGACAGTGTTCTCGAAGCTACCAGCATGAGTCTGACCAAACTGCGGGAGGCAGTGCAGGACAGGAGTGCCTGGCGTGCTCTGGTCCAGGGGGTCACGAAGAGCCGGACACAACTAAACAACTAAACAACAACAACAATAGTAGTCGCTGCTGCCACACACACCCCAAGCTGACGCCCTCTAATACTCCCAGCCATGGCTGAACTCCAAGGAGAGACACTCCATGTCCAGAAGAAAGGGAAGCAAGTGGCGGTAGTTGCCAGCTGGGAGTTGCAGTTTGGAATGCTAGGAAGGCGCCAGCTTCAGAAAGGCTGATGCCGAAGGACAAGCCTTGCTGAAGAATAACTAGGCATGGCTTGTGCCAAGGCACGTCCTACTTCAAACTTTTTTAGTTGAGATGGGAGTGACAGCCCAAAACATCTGGGCAGTGGGGTTCTTTTAAAAAAACATTTTATTTTCTGTTTTTCCACGTGGGCAGTGTTGTGCTGGCAAAGGCTGCCCTCACCACTCTTCTCCTCAAGCATTTACGTTTCCGGTTAGGGTCAAAGTCAGGAGTGAGGACAGCTCTGCTTACGGTGCCAAGGAGGCTCTCACCTGCTGCTGCTGCTGCTGCTGGGCTTTGGTGTCGGGCTGTGGGGAGGCTGGGCTGCCACTGGTGAAGAGGCGCAGGGCCTCGTTCCAGTGCGCCTTCATCATAGCCTGGAACTGGCTCATCATCTCCGCTCGCTGCATCTCCAGCCGCCGAGACTTGGCCTGCAGTTCCCGAATCTCCTCTTGCTGCTTGGAGATCCTGGGTGGGGTTATGGGATGGATGGGAAAGACACCATGGTTCTAGGACAGCCTTCCACATCATGGAAACAGTTTCATAATATTCAACATGGTGATATATGGCACATATATCGCAAATCACGATGTGTGTGCATGTGCTTCTCTCCTGAGTCGTGTCGCCCCATGGCACTGACTATAAAATAACAGTTAAAGGTATGTAAAAAGTAAAAAAAATATGTATCAGACCCCTAAATATCCAGTTGCCAGGGCATTACCCTGTTTGCCTCTACAGTGGTACCTCGGGTTACAGACACTTCAGGTTACAGACGCTTCAGGTTACAGACTCCGCTAACCCAGAAATAGTACCTCGGGTTAAGAACTTAGCTTCAGGATGAGAACAGAAATTGTGCTCTGGCGGTGTGGCAGCCCCAGTAGCTAAAGTGGTGCTTCAGGTTAAGAACAGTTTCAGGTTAAGAACGGACCTTCAGAATGAATTAAGTTCTTAACCCGAGGTACCACTGTACATAAAGGTAAAGGGACCCCTGACCATTAGGTCCAATCGTGGCCGACTCTGGGGTTTCGGCGCTCATCTCGCTTTACTGGCCGAGGGAGCTGGCATACAGCTTCTGGGTCATGTGGCCAGCATGACTAAGCCGCTACTGGTGAACCAGAGCAGCGCACGGAAACACCATTTACCTTCCCGCCGGAGCGATACCTATTTATCTACTTGCACTTTTTCACATGCTTTCAAACTGCTAGGTTGGCAGGAGCAGGGACCGAGCAACAGGAGCTCACCCCGTCGTGGGGATTCGAACCGCCAACCTTCTGATTGGCAAGTCCTAGGCTCTGTGGTTTAACCCACAGCGCCACCCGTAAAACATGTACCAGACCCCTAAATGTCCAGTTGCCAGGGCATTAGTCTGCTTGCCCCTACATAGTTCCATCCTTATTTGAGACATTGTGATATATTGATATACCACAATGTTTAGCTGGTGGTATATCGCAATGTTGAAAACCAGACACTGCCCAGCCCTCCTTCCCCTTCTCTCTGGCTCCACACACAGCTTCCCCAGCACCCCCAGAAAGACCTCCCCCTCGCCCCGCTTCCAGGTACCTGCACTCATAGTCCTCCGCCAGGTGCCTCTGCCTCTCCTCCCTCTCCGCCAGGTCGGCTTTGAACTGGGCTAACTGGCTGGCCAGCTCTTTCTCGTGGTGGCCGCTCAGCTCCAGCAGCTGCTTCCTGCCAAGGGAAAGAAAGGGGTTCAGACTCCGAAAACAAGAACTTCTGGTTTAAAGCCAAGACGTTGACGGCTCCCCAAGCAGCAGCAGTTCCTGAAAAAGGCAGGGATGGGCTCGAGAAGGAGCCATCTTGAATCCACTCATCCTCACTCCGTTTCCCTAGCAGAGTCATTAACTGAGGGCGGGGAACCTTAGGGAAAGGCTTTACTATGAAAGTAAGGGGAAGCTCTTCCCCCCTCCCCACCTGTCTCAAGATAAAGCCAGTGGCTGGCTTGATCTAACAAGAGAACACGAGAAGAGCCCGGGCCCTAAGGAAGTCAGATTATCCTCCACCAGGGCCAGGGCCTTCTCAGTGATGGCTCCGACCTGGTGGAAGGCTCTGTCCCGTGAGACCAGGGCCCTGCAGGATTTAACTTCCTTCCGCAGGGCCTGTAAGATAGAGCTATTCCGCCTGGCTTTCAACTTGAACTTAGCCTGATCTTTTATTCCCCTTCCTTCCCTCCCCCTCCCCTTTTTATGAAGATTACCCGCTCTGGGATCCCACAGCTAATTCTCCCCTGATCTCATCGCTGGCTCAAATACGAATAACTTAGCCAGCTAGCCCTGGTGATCATCTAATGTTTATCGGATGCATTTCCCCCCTAAATTGATTTTTGAATTCTTAATTTATTGTTATTCATGTTTTATACTGTATTTTATGCTGTTTTTTGTTGCATCAATTAAGTGTTTTAAATCAGTTGTTAGCTGCCCTGAGCCTGGTTTTCTGAACCGGGAAGGGTGGGGTATAAATAAAAAAAAATTATTATTATTATTAGATCAAGGCGCATCTGCTCCACATTCTGTTCTCACAAGTAGCCGTTGCCTGTGGGAAACCCGCAAGCGTACCTATCATGGCTAGTAGCCATCGACAGCCCTCTCCTTCTCCTCCTTTAAGTTGTTTAATCCTCTTTTAAAACCATACAAGTCAATGGCCATCGCTGCCTTTTATGGGAGAGAGTTCCACAGTTCCAGCTATGCACTGCATGAAAAGGTACCGTATTTTTCGCCCTATAGGACACACTTTTTCCCGTCCAAAAATGAAGGGGAAATGTGTGTGTGTTCTATGGGGCGAGTGCAGGCTTTCGCTGAAGCCTGGAGAGCGAGAGGGGTCGGTGCGCACCAACCCCTCTCACTCTCCAGGCTTCAGGAAGCTGTGCACAAGCCTTGGGAGCCCGTGGAAGTTCCCGCTGGGCTCCCACGGCTTGCAGAGAGCTGCCTCTATCCCGAAGCCTGGGGCGCGCTGAGCAGTCGCACCCCGGGCTTCAGGTAGCTCTGCGCAAGCCGCGGGAGCCCTCCCATGGCTTGCGGAGAGCTGCCTCTATCCCGAAGCCTGGGGCGCGCTGAGCAGTCGCGCCCCAGGCTTCGGGTAGGCTCCCACGGCTTGCGGAGAGCAGCCTGTTCTGGGGGCTGGGGGGGAAATAAACTAGGTGCCCTATGGGGCGAAAAATACGGTACTTTCTTTTATTTGTCCCAAATCTCCATTTTGAATGTTATGAGAGGGGAGGGACTTTGCTTTATGCCATGCATAATTTTATAAACCTCTATCACGTCTCCAGAGCCAGGAAGGAGGGCTAGCTATCTGCGCTGGCATCTAAGGACAGGGGTTCCCTCTGGCTGGAGGTGCGCTTGGCACAGAAGGGCCTAGAGCCCCGCCTCACCTGTGCTGCTCCCTCATGCTGCTCATCTGGCGCAAGCTCTCCTCGTGAACTTCAGCCATGCGCTCCGTCACCCGCTGCTCTAAGGCCACCTTCAGCTCCGACTCCAGCTTCACCTTTTGTGCCTCGTAACGTGCCTACGTGCAAAAGGGGACGGGGTTGGGATGGAAGGGGAAATCACTTCAAGCTTCTAGTGCTGCATCTAAGACTTGACACGCTCCTAGTCCTCAAGGAGCTGGCAAAGGCCAGGTACAAAGACTTCAGCTGATGGTGAAAGCCCTTGAATCAAAGAGGTACATGCACCAACCTCAGCTCAATGGGACTGCTGTATCTTTAACATCATTATTAGGAGGAGGAGTAGCATTCTTTATTAGTCATGTTTTTGCCATGATGTTTTATCACGTTTTTGATATTCTGTTGGGAGCCACCCTGAGTGGCTGGGGAAACCCAGCCAGATGGGCAGGGTATAAATAATAAAAATTATTATTATTATTATTATTATTATTAGCCATAGCAACTCGATAACTGGGCGAGTGGTGCATGACGTCCGTCATCAGAGTTCCAGCACTGGCAATCACGGAGCTGCAACAGCAGGGAGAAGCTGCAGCAATCAAAACTCATCCTTTCTCAGCACAATTCAAAGTGTTGGTGCTGACCTTTAAAGCCCTAAACGGCCTCAAAGGCCCAGTATACCCGACGGAGCGTCTCCACCCCCATCGTTCAGCCCACACCATGAGGTCCAGCTCCGAGGGCCTTCTGGTGGTTCCCTTGCTGAGAGAAGTGAGGTTACAGGGAACCAGGCAGAGGGCCTTCTCGGTGGTGGCACCCGCCCTGTTGAACGCCCTCTCATCAGATGTCAAGGCAATAACCAACTATTTTACTTTTAAAAGACAACTGAAGGCGGTGCGGTTTAGGGAGGTTTTTAATGTCTGATGCTGTATTGTTTTTAATATTCAGTTGGAAGCCGCCCAGAGTGGCTGGGGAAACCCAGCCAGATGGGCGGGGTATAAATAATAAATTATTATTATTATTATTATTATTATTATTATCCATACAATTCAATTATAAAAATGGCCCACCTAGTCCAGCATCCTGTTTTCACCAGATGCCTGTGGAAACCGGCAAGCGGGATCTGAGCACAAGCTTCTCTCTCCTTCCATGGCTTCCAGCAACTAGCATTCAGAAGCATTACTGCCTCGCAATCTGAAGGCAGAGCATAGCCATCATGGCTAATGGCCATCAGTAGTCCTCTCCTCTATGAATTTATCTAATCCTCGCCATCATCATCGCCTCCTGTGGGAGGGAGTTCCGTAGTTTAATAATAATAATTAATAATAATATTTTTTTATTTTTTAAAAAGATATTTATTAAAATTTTCAAAGTATTACAAAATGAAAAAAAAAGAAAAATACAAAATAAAAATAGTTAAAAAACAATTCCATCTTTCCATCACTTATTTTTCATTTGCTTGTTTCCCGGAACTCCTCACACCTCCCTTTTCTGTATTCCAATTCAATTTATTAGTTCAGCAAATCCTTTCCCTCTTTGTTTATCCTAGTCTTTAATCTTAAAATATTGTAACATTAAATTTTTACCTGTTAATAATCCATTTTTTCATATTCCTTATAGCGTTATAGCTAAAAACCACTTAACTTAAATAATAATTTTTTTTATACCCCGCCCATCTGGCTGGGCTTCTCCAGCCACTCTGGGCAGCTTCCAACACAATATTAAAATACAGTAATGCATCAAACATTAAAAGCTTCCCTAAACAGGGCTGCCTTCAGATATCTTCTAAAAGTCTGGTAGTTGTTTAACTACACACTGCATGGAAGAGGACTTCCTTTTGCGCAAAATGTCTGAACTCTGATATTTGCTGCAGTCCCCCCACCCACCCCAAAAGCAGCACCCTCGCTTGGGAAGGCCGCTGCCCACCTTACCTTGACCAAACTCATCTCCATCTTCAGGTTGTCTCTCTCTCGGCGCATGGCCTCCAGCTCGGCCTCCAGCCCTTGAACTTCCGACTGCACGGAGGCCAGGACACGCTGGGCATCGGACGCTTTCTGAGCTTCGCGCTGGGCCACTGCCTAGACAAGGGGTGAAGAGGAGAAGTAGGGTAGGCACTGAATAATAATAATAATAATAATAATAATAATAATAATAAAAGAAGAAGAAGAGTTTGGATTTGATATCCCGCTTTATCACTACCCGAAGGCATCTCAAAGCGGCTAACATTCTCCTTTCCCTTCCTCCCCCACAACAAACACTCTGTGAGGTGAGTGGGGCTGAGAGACTTCAGAGAAGTGTGACTGGCCCAAGGTCACCCAGCAGCTGCATGTGGAGGAGCGGAGACGCGAACCCGGTTCCCCAGATTACGAATCTACTGCTCTTAACCACTATACAGTGGTGCCTCGCAAGACGAAATTAATTCGTTCTGCGAGTTTTGTCGTCTTGCAATTTTTTTCGTCTTGCGAAGCACGGTGTCGGGAAAGTTTTGGAAAAGCTTCAAAAACCTCAAAAAGCTTTAAAAACCTCAAAAAAGGCTACCACACCGCGTTCTATGAGTTGCTCCTCGAAGTCAAGTCGCAACTGTATTAACGGTGTTAAGAAAAAGGAAACAAACTTGCAAGACGTTTCCGTCTTGCGAAGCAAGCCCATAGGGAAAATCGTCTTGCGAAGCAGCTCAAAAAACAAAAAAACCTTTCGTCTAGCGAGTTTTTTGTCTTGCGAGGCATTCGTCTTGCGAGGTACCACTGTACCACACTCCCTGCCCATCTGGCTGGGCTTCCCCAGCCACTCTGGGTGGCTTCCAACAAAATATTAAAATACAGTAATCCATCAAACATTAAAAGCTTCCCTAAACAGGGCTGCCTTCAGATGTCTTCTAAAAGTCTGGTAGTTGTTGTTCTCTTTGACATCTGGTGAAAGAAGCTGCTGAGACTCCAAACACGCCACCAACATCTCCTCACAAAGCCTGCCTCCCAATTGCATTCCAAGCTTGCGGTGTTCTGTGCCCCCCACACCTTCCCCCCCCCCCCGCATCCTCTCCCTGAGCAACAAATACCATTGAAAGCCCCGTCTGAACCGTCCCAGATTTTCACGGGCAACTCTGAAGCAACCTGGGTTCTGCCTAAATGTGAGGGGAAGGATTCGTCCCCCTGGGGAAATCCCTTCTCATCGCTGCCCCTCCCTCCAAAAGCAAGGCTCTCAGGGCAACCTGCTCAATGGCTGCATGAAAATAACAACATCAAATCTGCGCGGCAGCTGGATCAGTTCGCTATTCGTCTCGAAGGGGGAGAGAGGCAAGACGGCTTCGCCTTCCAGCCTGTTCCCACTTGGGACTGGCCACCTGCGTATATATTGTACAGAACTAGGAATTAGGAATTAACTCAAACAAAGCAGAGGCCAGCAGCCTCCCAGATCATCTGCCGAGGCTTTCCGCTCATCACAAACGCCATGTTTAGACTATGTCAGGTGGGAATAATCTGAATCCAGAATTATAAGGCTGACTACAGAAGAAAGAGTGGCAGAAAAGAATGAAGGCTTTTATTTTATTCCTAGCAAAATGCTTTCTTATGCTACTTAAAAGGTAAAGGGACCCCTGACCATTAGGTCCAGTCGTGGCCGACTCTGGGGTTGCGGCACTCATCTCGCTTTATTGGCCGAGGGAGCCGGCGTACAGCTTCCGGGTCATGTGGCCAGCATGACTAAGCCACTTCTGGCGAACCAGAGCAGCGCACGGAAACGCCGTTTACCTTCCCGCTGGAGCGGTACCTATTTATCTACTTGCACTTTGACGTGCTTTCGAACTGCTAGGTTGGCAGGAGCAGGGACTGAGCAACGGGAGCTCACCCCGTCGCGGGGATTCAAACCGCCGACCTTCCGATCAGCAAGCCCTAGGCTCTGTGGGTTAACCCACAGCGCCACCCGCGTCCCTTATGCTACTTAAGATCATCTAAATTTGCACCCTCTGTTGTTGTTTTTCCCTCTGGCAGGCCTCCTGTGGCTTTAGGGATGACCCAAGAGGCAGAAATCCAACAATTGCCTTCTCTGGCGCAGTGTTTGGAAAAGCTTTACCCGATGAATCGCTGCCAGTGAAGTGGTAGAATAAGGCGCACACAGAAGCCTCACCGGCAAAAACAGGGAAATCCTGAGTGACACCAAACTGGTCTCCCCCCTTTCCCACTCCTCCCCTAAGCTGCTGCCTCAGATCACGGATCCATCTAGTGCAGTGCTACCTACACTGACAGGCAGCCACTCTCCAAGGTTGGAGGTAGGGGACATTCGCAACCCAACCTAGAAAGGAATGTAAGAAGTGCCTGTCTGCTGGATCAGGCTAATGGCCCACGCAGTCCACCATCCTGTTCTCACCGTGGCCAAGCCAGATGATTGTGGGATAAGCCACCAGGACTGAATCACGGCTGGCTAGCTATTTATCTACCCAATTTGTATACAGTGGTACCTCGGGTTAAGTACTTAATTCGTTCCAGAGGTTCGTTCTTAACCTGAAACTGTTCTTAACCTGAAGCACCACTTTAGCTCATGGGGCCTCCCGCTGCTGCCGTGCCACCGGAGCACGATTTCTGTTCTTATCCTGAAGCAAAGTTCTTAACCTGAAGCACTATTTCTGGGTTAGTGGAGTCTGTAACCTGAAGCGTCTGTAACCTGAAGCGTATGTAACCCGAGGTACCACTGTACTGCCATTCATCTGAACATCACAGGGTGGTTCATGGCAACAAACCCCTCCAGGTTAAGAGACAGCATGCTTCCTCCGAAGACTAGTTGCAAGAGAACACAAGGGGGAGCAGGCTAATATAACGACACCAACCCTGTGGCAACGCAGGGTTAGAGAAGACCATTGGCCTAGTCTATCAGATGCTGTTCACCTGACGCTCTGTGGTGGCAAAACAATCATTTGGGGAGTAAACGCATTGCAAGGCCTGCCTTAGCTATTAAAGGGGACAACACAGGAGCGGCAAGTCACAGGAGTCAGATGAGGGACGTTTGCTGGAATCCTGCTTCTGAGCAGCAGAATATTTTTAAAGCTTTTCTCTGAATCACTCAGGACTAGAAACCTTAAAAATTAAAGATCACAGACAAGAGGAAGGAAATAAGAGCAGCATTTGTAAAATACTTTTCAGAATTGTATAAGAAAGGGAAGGAAAAAAATTGTAAAATAGAGGAATATATCTTTGACTTACAAACTGCAAGACAAGGACAACTGTGACTTTAAGGAGGAATGGGAACTTTTTACAAATTATTTAAAAAGACAACAAAATGAATTGGACCCCTTGGCAGGTTTTGAATAAACATACACAAATTTGTTGGTTGACAACATGATGGATAGATATGTAAGGATATGTACAATTTTATAATATGCAGAGGAAATGTGGGAAGAGAAATCAGGGAGAGGAGCTGAGGAAAGTCCTTGGTGGGGGAGGAAGGGAGGGGGGAATAATGTACGTGACTATATGGTTTGATAATTTGTTATGTGGAAATTGATCAACAAATTTATTTATTTATTTAAAAAAATTAAAAATTAAAGGGCTCCTTGAAACAGAAAAGTGAGCAAAAGCAGCAGGGGCTTTGGTGTGTGTGATTAAACCAGATCTGGAGCCATGGATATTGTTTTCTGAAGTTCTTTCCTAGTCCTGTTAACCAAGATTAGACGTGGACCCGCAGGTAACAGCTGGCCCACGTACGCACACAGCCAAATCAGAATGAGACATCTCTACCCCACAACTCACAGACTGGGAAGGCTGCTGCCGCCGCAGCCTACGCTTTTCCTCCGTAGGGTGGGGATTTCTTCCATAGGGTGGTAGTTCTTCCCAGCCTTGGGATTCCATGGCAAGCAAGGCCTCCCCTGCCTCTGCGCTCCGGGTAAGAGGCTATGGCTCGAAGGTGGAGCCAGAGTCAGCCCCGCCCACTAGGCAGAAAAGGCCACGCCTCTCCTGAAGGGGTTTCCTTACAGAAGGACTGTGGCCCTTCCTTGTGCTGGAATACTGCAGCCGAGCGGCCAGGTAAGAAACCCTACTGATAAAGTACTCAAAGCCCTACTTATTTTTCTACAGCAGTCCCAGAAATTGAGCTGCTCTTCTCCATATTGAGCCTGCCTGCTACAGCCTCAGTAAAAAAATGAAGGCAGGAGTCTGGAGTAGGACAGCCGGGTGGGGCTGAGTCCTTCTGAAAGAGGGCCAAGAGAGGGTAGGAGAGATTTAAAAGGGGATAGGAATATAGGATGCTGCCTTGTCTGAGCTTATATTGTAAGCTCAGGAGGGGAGGAGCCATCCTATGCACACTGATGAGCATTGTTTAAATGATAAAAATAGTATTTACCCATGGAATTTGGTGAGAATTGCTTGCTAGCAAGTAAGCTCAGGATTGCAACCAGCCCTCTTTTAAAAAATTGTCCAAAATTGAACTACAGTGGTACCTTGGTTTACAAACTTAATCCGTTCCGGAAATCTGTTCTTAAACCAAAGCGTTCTTAAACCAAGGTGTGCTTTCCCGTACCAGCAGGGGACTCTATTTACAAACGGAACACCCTCAACAGGAAGCGGAACATGTTCTGCTTCCAAGGCAAAGTTCACAAACCAAAACACCTACTTCCAGGTTTGCAGCGTTCTTAATCCAAGTTTAGGCTTATTCTCAAATTTAGGCTTAATCTCAAGTGTAGGCTTATTCTCAAGTTAACCTACTAAGTTTCCAACTCCACTCACAGCCCACAGTTAATAGAACTGGCACAATGCTTTTACTTTAACATTTGCTAATGCTAACGCCGATGCCAGAATGTCTGTGTTATCAATTACTGTTTCCTGTGAACGGTCACAGGCTGACCTCTCTGACATCCCATTTCCTTTGGCCATGCCATTTACAATGACTGGCGACAAGAACCATGTATATATTTAAGTGCAACTACGGGTAATAACTTCAGAGGGTGTCCATGGGTTCTAGTGTAAGAAACTGCCTGCGAGGCAAAGCTTTTGATCAGGGGTCAGCAAACTTTTTCAGCAGGGGGCCGGTCCACTGCCCTCAGTCATTGTGGTGGGCCAGACTATATTTTGAAGGGGGGGAAATGAACGAATTCCTATGCCCCACAAATAACCCAGAGATGCATTTTAAATAAAAGCACAGATTCGGCTCATGTAAAAACATCAGGCAGGCCCCACAAATAACCCAGAGATGCATTTGAAATAAAAGGACACATTCTACTCATGTAAAAACACGCTGATTCCCAGACCATCTGTGGGCTGGATTTAGAAGGTGATTGGGCCAGATCCGGCCCCCGGGCCATAGTTTGCTTACCCATGCTTTTGATTGTGCTCTAAAATGGGGAGGGAAACCGCTCCTGCAAGGGATTCAGAAGGCCTGGGAGGAGCCTCTCACTCTCTCACCTTCTCCTTGTCCAGGTGGGAGCGGCTCTCCTCCTGCAGGACCTGCTGCTGCTGCTCCAGCTGCCTCTCGCGCTGGGCCCAAGCCTTCTGCTGCTCCTCCAGCGTGGCCCGCAGGGTCTCCTGCTGCCGGCGCTCCAGGTTCCACTCCGCCTCCAGGCTGCGCACCTGCCGGCGCTCCTCCTCCAAGTCGCAAGAGAGCCTGGCCCTCTCCTCCTCCTGAGCGGACGGAAGGGGCGCACTTGTCAGCTCTGATGCGAGAAAGGTCTCGGTGGGGTCCAATTCCTGAGCCCAGAACGATGCCCCGAGAAGGGCATTAATGGGAGGCGCCAGGCAACTCCCTGTGGCGTTTGAGAGTCAGCAGCCTCTTGCCCCCCAAAAGTGGAGCTCTTTTCAGCTCTCATGGTGATATGGCCAGATGATGGGGGGCAGAAAGAAGACAGGGCTCCTGTACCTTTAATAGCAGAGTGGAAGAAGAATTTCCAGCAGGTGTGGGTTGTTTTCCTCTTCTGCGCTCCTATTAAAGGGGCAGGGGCCACTGGAAAGGTGAAGGGCTACTGGGAGGCCATTCTATGCTTACTCCTAAGCTCCACTGAGCCCAATGGGGCTTACTCCCTGGATTAGAGGACTGCACCCCACAGGAGCAGGGGCTTGGGAAGGTTCAGGGAAGGTGATTCTTACCAGAGCCTCCTTCTCTTTGCAGAACTGATTGGCCGCTTGCTGCTCCTGGCTGAGGGCAGACAAGGCTTGTGTGAGGCGCTCTTCCACCTCCGAGATTTTCTATAGGAAAGAAGAGTTAGCCATTTCCCGAAGACAGAGAGGGCCTCCAGCTGCGTCCTTCCTAGACCCGGGGTGATGGGTTGCTGGTTCCGTCCAGGCCTGCCTGGGACTTTTCGCTGCCTGAAGCAAAAGGCAAGTTGGTGCCCCCCCCCCCTTAGCCCATCCCAGAGACAGACGTCAACCTGACCGAGAGCGAATCTCAAAGGGAGAGATTCAGCAGCCCCCGAGCCTATTATTATTATTATTACTATTATTCTGATTTATAGACCTTTTATCAAAAGACCCCAGGACGGTGTACAACATTAAGGAGACATTTTACGGAGCACCATGATAAAGACATAATAAAAAGCACCATGATAAAGTACAGTGGTACCTCGGGTTACATACGCTTCAGGTTACAGACTCTGCTAACCCAGAAATATTGCCTCGGGTTAAGAACTTTGCTTCAGGATGAGAACAGAAATCGTGCCGCTGCAGCAGCGGGAGGCCCCATTAGGTAAAGTGGTGCTTCAGGTTAAGAACAGTTTCAGGTTAAGAACGGACCTCCGGAACGAATTAAGTACGTAACCAGAGGTACCACTGTAATCATAATAACAGTCTCCCCCAACAGATTATTTAATGGCCAAAGGACTGAGTAAAAGAGGATCTTTTTGCCTGGTGCCTAAAGACATAATGATGTCGCCAGGTGAGCCTCTCAGGCGAGAGCATTCCACACATGGGAGCCACCACCGAAAAGGCCTGTTCTCGTGTTGCCACCCATCAAACCTCTCACGGAGGGGGACACAGAGAAGAGCCTCAGGCAACAAGCACAGGGTCCTGTGTGGCATATGTAGCTCTGACCACCAGCACAGAAAAGAGGGGGGGGGGTTGTGCACAAGAGCAACAGGGAGGGGGCTGCCCCATTCTGCCTCATAGTTGATCCAGCGCGGCTGCAAAATGCAGAGTGCCTCTCTCCAAATTTCCTGGCGGCCCCATGCGCCTGCCTGCCGATGGGCGAAGCTGGAACCCCACCCTCTTGCTGCCCTGCTGAGATCCGTGGCCCAAAACCCCACCTCCGTCTGCTTCCCCAGCGCCTGCTCAAGCCCTTCCTTCTCCGTCTGCAGCCTGCGTAGCGTCGCCGTTCGCTCAGCCTCGTGCCGGTTCCAGCCTTCCACCACTTTGGCCAGGGTCTGTGGAAAGGAGAATGAGAGGCTCAACTGGCTGTCTCCCCCCCCCACTCCCACCCCTGCAGGGATCCAGGGGGTTCCCCAGCTGTCAAGAGATCCCTCGCTCGCTGGGCAGTGAGAGAGAACTGGTGTACTGTCGAAACTGTAGTCAATTTTCCGCTCTGTTCCCTGGAAGGCCATCTTTCTGGCCTGGACTCAACCACTGCTTGCTTGCAAAGGGCTTGTTCTGAACTGACCAACAAGGAGCTGGGGGCTCGATTCCATTCCAGAGGTAAATACTCAATATGAGGGTTGTTCTTGTTTCCTTTATATGCAGAGGTGACTAGAGCATTGAGACTCCAGCAACTGCACCTTTGGGACTTGTACAATGAACCTGAGAGCCCAAGCAAGGCAGGGGAGCTCTCTGGGAAACACCCGAGATCCTTGTTCAAGCCTTGGATGCAATTTGACAGTGCTTAGTTTGTTTTCGGTTGCGAGTTTGCTATTATTAATATTGTTTTGTGGATTATGAGAGCTGTAAGGCTTTGTGAATCTTATAATATGACCTTCGTTGTGGCTCTGCCATTTTGCTTATTTTTTTAGCTGTTTCGTTAACAGCGTTTTATAGGAGGTCCTCTTTTCGCTGGTGATTTGCAATTGCTTTACTGAGGATTTGTTCATTATTCTATAGGATCCATGTTGCAATTGTGATGCTACGTTATTGTTTGTAAGCTGCTTTGTGATACGTGTGTGAGTCGAAAGTGGCCTAGAAATAGAATGAATGAATGAATGGGTTATGTTGCTGCCCTGGGCGGGTGCTGCAAGTTCTGCCTTTGAAACAGCCCCAATCATCAGGCTTTACTGAAAAGAGCATTCAGGGGTGCAGTAGGGAGGTGCTACTGTCAGTGTCAGCGTCCTCCAGACTTTGCTGGGACTGGTGGGCGTTGTAGTTCAGCTGGGAGGGCCAAAGGTTCCTGCACCCCAGGGGTCAGAAGATTGTAAAGAACTGCCCTCCCTGCAGTTGCTAAGACCAGCAGCTGCTACATGTAAAAATGTTGAAAGGAGCTATGCCAGATGAGGCCCATCTAGTCCACCATCCTCTTCTCACTGTGGTCCACAAGTAGGACCTGAGCGCAGCAGCAGCAGCAGCAGCAGTGCTCTCCTCACCTGCACTCCCCAGTCCCTTGTATTCAGAGGCCTCCTGCCTCCATGCCCTGGGCTCCCCATGGCTCCAGCAATGATGCTCCAACTCCAACCCACCTGCCGCTGCTGCTGCTGCTCCTGGGCCAGCCTGTCTCTGGGCATCTCGGCCACCCACCCACCCACCTGTCGTGTCGAAGGCTCACCTTATCCAGCTGCTCTATCATGCTGTCTTTCTTCTTGTCCGCCGAGACGGCGACGGCCAGCTGCTGCTGCAGCTCCAGGATGCGATTCTGCAAGGCGTGGATGTGCCGCTCGCAGTGCTGGGTGGGAGGAAGCGGTCAAGAATTCAGTGGCTGTGGAAGGGAAGGGTGAAGTATTTGGGCTAGGGCAGGTAGGAAATGATTCTTGCGGAAGAGGCAACTCAAGTCCGGGCTCCTTTCCAAGAACCCCACTGATGCACCATTCTTCCAAGTTCTCCCCACCCCCATCTTGTTTTCTGCTGCTCCAGAGAAGCGGACACGGAACAATGGACCCAAACTACAAGAAAGAAGATTCCACCTAAACATTAGGAAGAACTTCCTGGACTTCCGGGTTGGCGCCATCGCCGAATGGCGGACTCCCTCCGAGCTCCGGAGGGAGCCTGCTCGGCAGGGGCTGGGTCTTACCGCGCCGGCGACGCTGGGACCCTTAAAACCCACGGCCACGGAGGCCGTGGACATGGTGACTCGGCTGGCACTGCTAGCGCCCTCCCGACTCGTGAAGGAGCCTTTTTAAAGGCTACGGATCGGGTGCCGGGGAGAGGCGCGGTGCTTTGAGTCCTCTGCTAGCCCTGCCGAGCGAAGCTGCATGCCATCCGGCAGAGAGCGCTGACTTCTTCCATTGAGAATTCGGACTTTTAACAACAACCCGTGAGTAATTTGGAAAACCGGGTTTAAAAGGAGAAAAAAAGGAATTTTTTTCGGATTTGGTACGAGCGGGGGGGGGGGATCCAAAAAGGAAGTCAGTCCCCCTCCCTACTGTAAACATTCTAAAACAAGGACCGGGCAACCAAGGTCACGAAAGAACTGTATTTTTGATAAAAACCAAGAATTTCACGATGGGAAACTACAAGAAACTGTGCTGGAGGAGAAGAGTGGAGGGAGAAGGAAAGCGTAACCGCCCCCCCCCCCCTGGGAACCGGGGCGATTGGAGAGAGAGCCTGGTGAAAAGAGACGGAGACTTTGACAGCTGTCAAAGTAGCTGTCAAAACCGGAAAAATTTAAAGAGGACTCTGTTTTGAGCTCCTTGCTGGTTAAATTTGTTACAATTTGCTAAGATTCGGATACAAAATGGCGAAAATATGGAACAACAACCAGACTTTTGGACTAGAGGAAACAAAGTTATAACAATCCCCCTAGAGGAGTTTCGGGACATTACAAAGATGGTCGTAAGTGGAAAAATACCTTCGGAATTTTACAGGACTGGTTATCTTCTGGGAAAGCTGCAAAACTGAAATAGTATTATGTCTACAGGGGTGTTTACATTAAAGGAGACAATAGAATTCTCTATTGAAGAAAGGAAGGGACTGAACGCAAGTTTTTGTTCCTGAATAACAAAATCCCCTGTAGAGTTACTAAATTTCCGAATTAGAACGTTTTAGCAGCGGAACAAGATGAAACTGGACTACAACATGGAAAGAACAATGGGGGCAGCCTTAAAGACCAAAGATTGGAGATTTGAAGTTAAATACTATAAAAATAACTTTAAACTTAAAAAAAAAAAAAAACTGGCAAGGGACTGGGGGGGAAATCTGATTATGGATTTAAGAATTCCAGGCAGACAACATAGATTGGTGGACAGGGGGAACTCAAACCGGGGAAGGGGGAGAACTAGAATCCAAAGGCTTGCAACTATTTTTTGAATTCTTTTTTCTATATACTTTTTATCTTTTTATATCTTTATATTGTTTTTCTTTATATATTTTGTTGGGTGTTTTTATTTAAAAAAAAAGGGAATTCGTGGAAGGAAAATGGGGGGGACCTTGGGGAGAGAATTTTTGTTTTTTATCAAGGGTAATGATGAGGACTGTATAAGCTTAAATTTGAATATTGGGCTAAACAAATTAAGTTTAAATTAGGAGGGAGAGCTTGTTGAGCTAACGATATGAAAGGGGAATATGGCAGGGATGGGGGAGGGGGGAGTCCCAGAAAGTGGATAATGAAAATAAGGTTTTAAATGCATTCTGTTTTTGTCTTATCTTTACTTTCTGTTTTCTGAAAATTTCAATAAATATGATTTTAAAAAAAAAAAACATTAGGAAGAACTTCCTGACAGTAAGAGCTGTTCGACAGTGGAATTTGCTGCCAAGGAGTGTGGTGGAGTCTCCTTCTTTGGAGGTCTTTAAGCAGAGGCTTGACAACCATATGTCAGGAGTGCTCTGATGGTGTTTCCTGCTTGGCAGGGGGTTGGACTCGATGGCCCTTGGGGTCTATTCCAACTCTATGATTCTATGATTCTATCTCCACCCCACCACAGTCCTGAGCGATGGAAACTTTGATATCAGTCAAACCCTAACAGCTAAAATGAAAGATGAAGATTTCCGGGACGTGAGCCACACTTGGGGATTATTCAGGAGGGCATGCCCTACTTCTGCCCTGTTTATATTCTCTTATAAATACAGGTGTTCAGTCGCTACTTCACTCCTGTCCTACACGGAGCACCCTGCTCAGGGGAAGTGGAGTTCTCCTCTGCCTCCAAGAGCAGAACATGTCCCCTCTGTGGCAGACAGAAGCAAGCCTTGCTCTGCCCGGTTTGCATGAGCAAACCGTTTGGAAGGAAACAGTCTCCCCCATCCCGCCCCAGACTTGGCTGTCTTGGGTTAGCCTAGGGCAGCAGGGAGGACTCTTTGGCCTGCGAATATGATGAGACCCACCAGGCCTCCCTATTTGGTCCAGCTGCTCCCACCTGATGTCAGGTGCGGGGCACCTGATCGGCTGATCTGCGGCACAGGGCTTTGCAAGAGGTGACAGTCAGCTGATTGACCAGAGCTTTGTAGGCTGTACCTTTGCCCATCATGCTGGGCCAAATGGGGGGGGGGGAGGAATAGTGATCTGGCCAGTGGCCAGACCTTGTTGCCCACATCTGGGTCCAGTTCCCAGAAACTCCCCCCAATACAGGTAAGCATAAAGGTAAAGGTACCCCTGCCCATACGGGCCAGTCGTGTCCGACTCTAGGGTTGTGCACTCATCTCACTCTATAGGCCGGGAGCCAGCGCTGTCCGCAGACACTTCCGGGTCACGTGGCCAGCGTGACCAGCTGCATCTGGCGAGCCAGCGCAGCACACGGAACGCCGTTTACCTTCCCGCTGGTAAGCGGTCCCTATTTATCTACTTGCACCCGAAGGTGCTTTCGAACTGCTAGGTTGGCAGGCGCTGGGACCAAACGACGGGAGCGCACCCCGCCACGGGGATTCGAACCGCCGACCATGCGATCGGCAAGTCCTAGGTGCTGAGGTTTTACCCACAGCGCCACCCGCATCCCGGTAAGCATAATTAGTATTTAAAGCAATCATAATAATTCAGCAAAACAATAGACTTGCAGCTCAGCTACAAAACAAAACATTTTTTTTTTTAGTGTTTATATTATTAACTTGTAAGATATGGATTTGTTTGGGTTTTTTTTAGTTGTTGTTGCTTTTTTAGTTTTTCAAATGTTGGTTTCTGTGTGTTGTGTATTGTTATTTTTCGATATTTTTCGTGTTGTTGTTGTGTGGGAAATACTAATAAAATTTATTTGATTTAAAAAAAAAAAGATTTGCAGCTGAGCTATCTATGACTTGGCAGCAGATCCATTTTCAGCAGTACTACAGCTATAGTACTCGTAGCAGATCAATCCCCTGTAAAAAAAAAACCAAAAAACCCACAGGAGAATAAAAATGTGTTTAATTGGGCTTGGAAGAGAGCCAGTGATAGTATCACTTGCATCTCAGGGCGGACCTGCCCATCTGTTAAGATATTAGACAGTGGCCCTCAAGCCCCACTGAGGGGGCTTCTTGGGCTAGGGAGCCTTGAATCAGGAAGGCTTTCCCGAGGCAGACCTGTCTGGGCCCGATTCATATGACTTTTCAGTGTCACAATATACTCCCAGCCCTCGTTAAACTGGGACTGGAGTTGCTTTTAGCCAGCTGGACGTCCGTTGAGATGTCGCACCTGCTTCTACCACCTTCCTGCAGTACCACTGCAAGTTGCCACGTCCCAGCGAGTAATCCGTTCTCCTCCCACCCAGACACGCTCATTACAACGCTGTGTTACAGGCAGCGTTTGTAGCAGAGGGACTGGCATCCCTGCCTGTCGTGCTGCGGACCTGAGCCTGACTCCTAGGTTGGCCGCGCACCTTTGGGGGGAGCATAGCTGAACGGTTGGGCACCTGGTTTGGATACAGCAGGGACCACCCTGTGGCAAATGCGCCACCGAAATGTAGCCTGGCGTGAATCAGCCTGGGGTGCCCAAGGAATGAGAGTTCCAAGTGTATTCTGTGTGTGTGTGTGTGTGTGTGTGTGTGTGTGTTGGGGCTCAAGCATGGAGCAAAAAAGCCCTAATAGATGGGTGCCTCTCCTTGCTGCTCTGGGACCAAGAAGGAGGGAAAGTTCTTTTAAACTCTTTTTAAAAAGTAAGCCCTGGTGTTCAGGGGCTGCTCAAAAGGACGTAACTCCTTTGCATGGGCAACGCTATGGGGAAGAAGCCGCTTGACCCACACACTCCCACCTGCCTCCCAGAAAGGCCAAGATTTGAGTCCTCCAGAATATTTCTCCCAGGAAGTTCCAGGACTTTCTGGAACAGCTCTCAGAGCCCTGGAGCTTACTTTGGGTTCCCGGCAGCACCTGGGCCAGGCAGAGCAGGCTCCTGCGCTCTAATAGGCTTAGAGGGCTAAATTGAGCCTCGGGAGGGGGCCGGCTAGCCCTCCACCCACCCCAGCAAGCGGCTTAAAGCCGGGCAAGGCGCTCGGCAGCAACATCACCAAGGTCAGGCTTGTTCCACCGGCACGTGGGCTGGGTCTGCGGCACGCCAGCGCCTCCTCCTGGTCAGGGCTGGCCTCCTCCCCTCATCATCGCCACCACCCACTCCGCTCCCGTGTCCTCCGGAAGATGGTTAGGACAAGAGAGGAGAACGAGATGGAGGCAGGATTCTGTTTGCAGGTTTGGAAGGAGGCTGGAGTTGAACACAAGCTGGAGGGCAGGGGGATAACAATGACAAGAGCGGGTACTTGAGAGCACTCCTTTAAAATGCACCGGAGAGTGGATTAAAAGCAAGGGTTGGGCACAAATGAGGTGCCTGTGCCTTTTGTGCACAGCCTAAGAGCTGCCCCTTGAGCAGGTCTCTGAATGTCGGAAGTTTAGGATGGACAAAAGGAGCACACAGTTAAACTACAGACCTCCCTCCCAGAGGAGACAGCGATGGCCAGCAACCCAGATGACTTTAAAAGAGGATTAGACAAATTCACTGCGGAGAGGGCTCGCAATGGCTGTGCTCTGCCTCCAGAATTTGAGGAAGCAAATACCAGTTGCTAGAAATCACAGGAAGGGAGGGTGGCCGCGCTCCAATCCTGCTCGCAGGTTTCCCACAGGGATCTGGTCGGCCAGTGTGAGAACAGGATGTTGGACTAGATGGGAGCTGGCCTGATCTAGCAGGTTTTTATTAGGTTATCTGCAAAGAATGCTGCACTATGTGGGCTTCGGCCAGATCCAGCAAGGCACTTCATATATTCACGACCATGAGTGCCGACTCAAGAGCAACTGACACAAGTGAGGAATTATTTCACCCTTCGAAAGATTCTGTGTTAGGCATTCCTGTATTCTGAAAACTAATTGCTGGGCCACTGGAAACTAGTGAGACCAAAACCCAACAGGGAAAGTAGACCACACCCAAAGACTTTAGCCTGTCCACCCCAGCTTAAAGAGGGGGGAAAGAGTGAATATTCCCCACCTGTTGTGAAAAGAGCAGGTGCCCATATCCATGCTAGTGAAGCTGAAGTTATTATATTCTAGATGAGTTATTATGGTGTCGCAAGTATACAGTCATGTCTAGGGCTATACAGGCCGTGTGAAGCTTAATAGATTCAAGTTCTGCCCCAGAACGGAGCCACATTCTGCACCCTGAATCATAGAAATCAAAGCAAAGTCTCATGGCCTCCTGCTGATTTTGCATAAAATTGTTTTTTTTTAAAAAAACAACAACACACCACCAAATCTATTTTCACTTGGCAAGCTTTTGGGAGGTGGGAGAAGAAACGGGTGCCACAGAGAACTCTGAAGATCTCCAGAAGTTCAGCTCCACTTCCCTTTGGCTAAAGATCAGGGCTGACACGGACATACAAACTCAAGCGTCGCTTCCTTGCATATTCAGGAAACGCAGCCTTGATTTGACGGTGAAACCGGCAGACCCCAAAGGTGGTGCGCTTTTAAAGCAGAGGCTTTTCTGCAGGGTTTGGACACATATCAGGGATAGGGCTGTCGCCCCTTCCAGCATCGCGATTCACTGAGAGGAAGGGGCTGCTGAAAAGCAGATCTACTGGATCCCTTTCCCCAGAGAAGTCAGGACTCCTGGTTTCTTTCGTGAAGAGGTTACAGCTCAGCAACAACCGCAGCTTGCAGCCCTGATCCCGTCTTCCTAACTGCCCATGGAACTCTGCCCATGTTGAAGGTGAATGTAGGGGGGCACGTGGATGGAAGGTCAGAAAGCTCATTATGGGCCATGATACCGGCTAAGTCCGAGTAGCTTTACTTAAAGTCGCAGGTCACATGACACTTACTTCATAGCCCCCCCTCCAGCCATACTGGTCCATCCTTCAAGCCTCTTTGGTTGCCTAATGCAAAGCAGTAATCCTGGCAATTAGGAGAGGCTCAGGTGAGAAGGGGGGGTGGGAGGCCGCTGGGCCAATGGACTAGGCTGCGATTTTCACTAGACACCGGCCTGCGTGGAATATTTTCCCCGGCAAAGAAATCCTCAAGCAGTTGGATCTCTTTGTTTAGGGCAATGGTTCTCGGAGGGTGTGGCAGGAGAGGATGACAGGTGTGGCAGGAAGATTCAAGGACAATCAAAGAAACATTTCAGTGTAGTATAGTATCAAAAAATTAATTTCTTTTTGCAAATCTTTTCAAAATGAAAGCAAGAACATCCAGGTGATACTGAGGACATTCCTAATTGTGATCTGTTCATTTTCCAATGCATTTCTTATCAGTAAAAAAATCAGTGTGGCAAATTTTTATTTGTTCATCGCGTTTTTATCGTGTTTTTAACATTCTGTTGGGAGCCGCCCAGAGTGGCTGAGGAAACCCAGTCAGATGGGCAGGGTATAAATAATAACAATATTAAAGGTAAAGGTACCCCTGCCCGTACGGGCCAGTCTTGACAGACTCTAGGGTTGTGCGCCCATCTCACTTAAGAGGCCGGGGGCCAGCGCTGTCCGGAGACACTTCCGGGTCACGTGGCCAGCGTGACGAAGCTGCTCTGGCGAGCCAGCACCAGCGCAGCACACGGAAACGCCATTTACCTTCCCGCTATAAAGTGGTACCTATTTATCTACTTGCACTTAGGGTGCTTTCGAACTGCTAGGTGGGCAGGAGCTGGGACCGAAAGACGGGAGCTCACCCCGCCGCGGGGATTCGAACCGCCGTCCATACGATTGGCAAGTCCTAGGCACTGAGGTTTTACCCACAGCGCCACCCGCGTCCCTTAATAACAATATTAATAATTGTTTAATTATTTAATTATTTAATTAATTGCTGCTACTACTAATAATAATAAAATTTTATTTATGTCCCAGCCGAAGCCAGGCTCAGAGCGGCTAACAACAGTAAAAGTAACACACTTTACATAAAATCACAATCAATTAATTGAAATACATTCTAGAATCAATTCATTGCCTTGCTGTAATCTATCTTTGACCTTTGATAATGCCTGTGACTTTTAAAAGCAATTTGGGGCGGAAAGAGGACAGAGCAGACCCAGTCCTAGCAGCCACCGGTTCCCTCATTCTCCCGCAATCCTTTGTGAATCCTTCAGACAGGCTCCCCAGCTGTCAGGTGCCACTCACCTTTCGCCGGGCTTGCTCTTTGTCCAAAGAGTCCTTCAGCAGGTGGGAGTCGGCATATGGCGGATGCTCACGGAGTTGGCCCATGCGCAGACTGGTGTAGCGGGGAAATAGTTGCTCGAAGCCGGCTAGGGAGCCAGGAGGAGAGACCTCCTGCAGGGGCCTGGCGCTAAGGGGACAAATGGAAAGGAGACGTGAAGGCAACAGAGGCTCCTTCAAAACCAGCCACAATCAATCCCTCCACCCTCCTGACACTCTTTAGCTTCCGGCATCTTCTATCCCCAAGATGCCAGGAAATGCCAGGACAAGGACCCAGGAGTTCTAGAGCCTGCTCTCTCTCAACGTGTAAGGGTTGGCTGAAGCACTTCCTGGCCTTTCACCCCAAGGGCTGTCGTCTGTCTACTGATCCTCCTTTTACAATATTGCTCCTATCCTGGGGTCTCTGCATTTCTCTATCGTGGGTAACTTCTGGCCCACAGGCCTCATTAGCTGGGCCTTAGGGACACGGGTGGCGCTGTGGGTTAAACCACAGAGCCTAGGACTTGCCGATCAGAAGGTCGGCGGTTCGAATCCCCACAACGGGGTGAGCTCCCATTGCTCCGTCCCTGCTCCTGCCAATCTAGCAGTTTGAAAGCACGTCAAAGTGCAAGTAGATAAATAGGTACCGTTCCAGCGGGAAGGTAAACGGCATTTCCATGCGCTGCTCTGGTTCGCCAGAAGCGGCTTAGTCATGCTGGCCACTTGATCCGGAAGCTGTACGCCGGCTCCCTCGGCCAATAAAGCGAGATGAGCGCCACAACCCCAGAGTCGGCCACGACTGGACCTCATGGTCAGGGGTCCCTTTACCTTTTAGGACTTTGTTCGGCCAAGCCTTGCCCACCTGTTCCACCTCACAATGTGAGGTGCAGGTACAGGCAGGACTGAGCCAAAAAGGGGGGGCTGCAGGCGCTTCAAATCAGGCGCACCTGCAAAGCCCTGCATGGCGCACTGTCAAGCCCTGACAATCAGCTGGTTGTTGGTGCTTAAGCGCCTGCGCTGCTCTATGCAAGAACAGCTGATATTCGGGACTGGCACAGAGCTGTGTGTGGTGCTTTAAAGCTGATCCACAGGGCTTCAAAGTGTAGCGCAGGCTCTATGCTAGCCCAGGGGTTGGGGAATCACATCACTGTGATGTCATGTGATTGATAAGTTGGTGACCTGCACAGGGTAGTGGAGTTAAGGGATCTGGCCCACCAGCCAGATCCAGTTCCCCACCTCTGCTCTCTAGAACCGTGCACTCCAAAGATAAGCTTTGTATGAGATCATCTACCCTAGCTTTGAATTCTGGTGCTGGAGGAGACTCTTGAGAGTCCCATGGACTGCAAGAAGATCATACCTATCCATTCTGAAGGAAATCAGCCCTGAGTGCTCACTGGAAGGACAGATCCTGAAGCTGAGGCTCCAAGACTTTGGCCACCTCATGAGAAGAGAAGACTCCCTGGAAAAAACCCTGATGTTGGGAAAGATGGAGGGCACAAGGAGAAGGGGACGACGGAGGACGAGATGGTGGGACAGTGTTCTCAAAGATACCAGCATGAGTCTGACCAAACTGCGGGAGGCAGTGGAAGACAGGAGTGCCTGGCGTGCTCTGGTCCATGGGGTCACAAAGAGTCGGACACGACTAAACAACAACACCCTAGCTAAAGGGAAGGCACCCCCATTCATCCTTCAAATGTGTGAGGAAGCAGAGAAGTAAATTCTGATCTGCACGCAACACTGAACCATGGTTTCTCATGACATGCATGAGCCTCTGAATGCACCAAGCAAAACCAATCAGAAACTCATGCACATTACCAAGGCTCAGGACTGAACCAAGTTTTGTGTAGCATGCAAACCAAGCCACAGCTGTCAAAGGCCCCCAATGATTTCAAAAAAACAGCATGTGGCGAGACATCAAGGCTCCTCGACAGAAACTGAAATTCACCCAAGAGCTTAAACGGGGTTCTTTATCTGTCTCCTGAGATGAAGCTGCTTCTGGCTGGGAAGAGCTGTGTAGCAGGAACCCCTCAAGGCTATAATAGCAACTGACCCAGAGCAAATGCTCTTTTTTCGGTCGGTACGCATCAGTATAGCATACTGCTACCTCTTTTTCCCTGCCACCATCTCACTGCCGCCGCTTCTCCCAGAAGGTGCTTTGGCGATCATAAGGATCATGCCCAAATGCCTCTGCTCTGGCACGACTTTTATGATCCTCAGGCACCTTCCTGGAATGTGCTTTGGCGCTCAAAGGGTTGCACTAAAGCACCTCCGAGAGGCTGTGCCTTCCGCAGCGCAGCAGGACCTATTTTTCTTTTTAGAAAAACACACCAACCGCTGCCCAGAGCTTAGGAAGTCTGTTCATGTCCTGAGATGAACTTACTTGAGCAAGGCTGTCGTGCTGTCACTCTCAAAGGAGTCATCGTCTTTCCGCTCAAAGGTTCGCAGTGCCACAGCATCCCCTGCAGGCAGAAGGGGGGAAATTGTTGTCTGCAGGTCGGAAGCAGCTTTGGGGGTGAAGGGAGAACCGGCTCCGATTTTGGTATAAGGCCACTTCCTGTGTTCCTGCTTGGGAGGCTGGCTAGAGAGAACCTGCTATAGATTCAGAGGTGAGATGAGAGATCAAGAGGTGGGTGGCAGTGGAAGTGTGCCATGCAGGGAAGTGAGTAAAAAGGTCCAGGGTTAGGGGAGCCACTCCAAAGGGATGTCTGGTTGGACCATGTTCCCCCACAGTGTGGTGTAGTGGTTAAGAGCGGTGGACTCGTAATCTGGTGAACCAGGTTCAATTCCCCGCTCCTCCACGTGCAGCTGCTGGGTGACCTTGGGCCAGTCACGCTTCTTTGAAGTCTCTCAGCCCCACTCACCTCACAGAGTGTTTGTTGTGGGGGAGGAAGGGAAAGGAGAATGTTAGCCGCTTTGAGACTCCTGAAGGGGAGTGAAAGGCGGGATATCAAATCCAAACTCTATCAAATCCAAAAAGCTTTTTTTTAATCCTATTTTTGGTACCCCCTTCATGGATCACTGCCTTGCCGTGGCGAAGGGGCTTGAACTATGGCAAGTTCTTAAAGAAATGGGGGTGCCTGATCACCTCATCTGTCTCCTGAGAAATCTCTATGTGGGACAAGAAGCTACAGTTAGAACTGGATATGGAACAACTGATTGGTTCAAAATTGGGAAAGGAGTACGACAAGGCTGTATATTGTCTCCCTGCTTATTTAACTTATATGCAGAATTCATCATGCGAAAGGCTGGGCTGGATGAATCCCTAGCCGGAATTAAGATCGCCGGAAGAAATATCAACAACCTCAGATATGCAGATGACACAACCTTGATGGCAGAAAGTGAGGAGGAATTAAATAACTTTTTAATGAGGGTGAAAGAGGAGAGCGCAAAATATAGTCTGAAGCTCAACATCAAAAAAACCAAGATCATGGCCACTGGGCCCATCACCTCCTGGCAAATAGAAGGGGAAGAAATGGAGGCAGTGAGAGATTTTACTTTCTTGGGCTCCATGATCACTGCAGATGGTGACAGCAGCCACGAAATTAAAAGACGCCTGCTTCTTGGGAGAAAAGCAATGACAAACCTAGACAGCATCTTAAAAAGCAGAGACATCACCTTGCCAACAAAGGGCTGTATAGTTAAAGCTATGGTTTTCCCAGTAGTGATGTATGGAAGTGAGAGCTGGACCATAAAGAAGGCTGATCGCCGAAGAATGGATGCTTTTGAATTCTGGTGCTGGAGGAGACTCTTGAGAGTCCCATGGACTGCAAGAAGATCAAACCTATCCATTCTTAAGGAAATCAGCCCTGAGTGCTCACTGGAAGGACAGATCCTGAAGCTGAGACTCCAATACTTCTCACCTCGTGAGAAGAGAAGACTCCCTGGAAAAGACCCTGATGTTGGGAAAGATGGAGGGCCCAAGGAGAAGGGGACGGCAGAGGACGAGATGGTGGGACAGTGTTCTCAAAGCTACCAGCATGAGTTTGACCAAACTGCGGGAGGCAGTGGAAGACAGGAGTGCCTGGCGTGCTCTGGTCCATGGGGTCACAAAGAGTCGGACATGACTAAACGACAACAAAAATTTTGGTACTCTCACCATGAGCAGCATCCCTGGACCCACGGAGCATGCCTTGCAGATGGCAGCGCACGTTCTCCATCTCAGAGATGTGGCGGGACTCGACAGCAGGTCCCTGCAGGAGAGAATGAAAGAGGCCTGGGTATTTTATCCTGCGTCTCCAGCCTCTCCCCAGCCATGTGGCCTCTCCTCCTCACCTTCCTGTAGGTGCTGGCCTCCACGCTGGTCGAGAGTCGGTGGCTGAGCTCCTCCGCCAGAGTGTCCAGATCTACTTCAGGGGCCTCCGCTTCCCTGGAGAGACCCAAGCTGTGCTGGTTCTCCAGGTGGGAGCGGGCCTGAGCCTCAGCCTGCCGGCTCTGGTGCAGCGAGGCATAGAGCTGCGCCGTCACCTGGGAGGTATAGGGGGTGCCCGCCTGAGAGGAAGGGACCTTTTGCCCTGGAGTGGCAGGAGCCGAGGGTGGCAGCAGCTCCATGTCGCTCAGAAGATCCTCGCTGTGGATGGAGGAGCTCAAAGTCCTGCAGGCACTCTTGTCGGCCATGGGTACAGTTGGAGGCGGTGGTTCCAAAGCCTTTGCCCAAGCCGGCCAGGCTGCAGGAGTTCTGTGCTCAGAAGCCCAGAGTCCCTGTCATAATGCGGAGTGTCCCGTGACAACAGGACTCCGAGAGATGGAAGGTGCTTTCAGACATGCTGGCCCGTCCGGAGTGCCGGCAAGGAGATGCTGGAAGGAGAGGCCTCGCCTGGGGCTGCAAGAACAGGACTGGGCAGGTGGTGCTCTCAGTTGATGCCCTGAAGAGAAAACATGCCGTTAGGGGCATAGAATGAGCTTACAGAAGGACAACAGGAAGAACACAGGTGACATCAGGAGTCGGATCCCAGCTGAAGAAAAGCCCTGCCCTGCGCCACTGCTAGCCTTTGCCCTGTATGGTGGCATTAGTCCCCATTTCCTGGTGGGCACAGGGACTCGGGTGGCGCTGTGGGTAAATGCCTCAGCGCCTAGGGCTTGCCGATCGAAAGGTCGGCGGTTCGAATCCCCGCGGCGGGGTGCGCTCCCGTTGCTCGGTCCCAGCGCCTGCCAACCTAGCAATTCGAAAGCACCCCCGGGTGCAAGTAGATAAATAGGGACCGCTTACTGGCGGTAAGGTAAACGGCGTTTCCGTGTGCTGCGCTGGTGCTGGCTCGCCAGAGCAGCTTCGTCACGCTGGCCACGTGACCCGGAAGTGTCTCCAGACAGCGCTGGCCCCCGGCCTCTTGAGTGAGATGGGCGCACAACCCTAGAGTCTGTCAAGACTGGCCCGTATGGGCAGGGGTACCTTTACCTTTACCTTTTACCTGGTGGGCACATGGCAAGAGTTCAACTCCTACTTGGTTTAAGCTCTATGGATCCAGGGAACCTGGGTGGGTCTCCCCCCCCCCGCCACATGCTGCTGGACTATAAGTCCCATCAGCCACAGCCAGCACCCAGGGGCAATGGGATCTGTAGTCCAGCAACATCTGGAGGGTCCTGCTCTGCCAGCCCCACACTCCTGCCCTAGAGGGATCCCACTTCTTGCCCCTTAAAGCTCCCCACTCACTTTCTGAAAACAACCCCAAGCATGCCTCCCCCCACATCACACACTCTTTTCCCCTTTAGGCGCCCCCACCTCAGTTTTAATGGCAGGCCCCTCCTACAATTCCCACCCCCAAATCCCCCTGGAGCTCCACCCACAATGCTCTGGCCCCGCCCACACCTGTCCCCCCGCCTCGCACCTGCCACAGGCCCCGCCCACACTGCGCTCCCCTCCCCCCAAAAACGTTGAGGTAAATCCTAATTCTCTCTCTCACACCCCCCGCCCGCGGACCCGGTTTTTTCCCGCCGTTTTAAAACGCCCTCGCGCTCCTTCCGTCCCGCGCTCGCCCACCTCTAGGCCGCGCCGCCCGCCCTCAGAAATAGCACACTCACAAAAAATACAAAACCCAAACCAACCAACGCTTGGTTTTCATTTGGCTTAGGCCGACGCAACTCCTGGCAACCACCTCGGCAGGGAGGGCGGGGAGGCCGCCGCCGCCATTTTGCTTGAGGGCAAGAGCGCGCCGGGCGGGGGGCGGGGAAAGAGAAAAGCGCGCGTGCGCGAGCCGCCGAACGAGACGCGGGCGGGCGGGCGGAAGCGCGGTGACAAGAGCACGCGCCGAGCGGCGGACCAATCAGCGCGCGCATATGCCCTCTCGCGCTCTCTCCTCCCGGAAGTATAAGAGGATTCGGAAGCTGCCGGGCAGGGAGGGGGTTGCCATAGAGACGAAGGTGAGACTCCGGTATTGAGGGATGGGGGCGGGGGCTGTAGGCCCCGGAGGGTCTTCAATACGGGGAGCCCGCTGAGGGGCCGAAACGGCGACCACCCGGACCTTCCCCACCAAGGGCAGGACCAGCCCAGCGCTGGTGAGGGAGACTGTGGGTAGAGCTCCAGGGCTGGCTGGGCTGCGACTCTCGCCCCTCTTGGTCCTCGGCCTCACTGCCTTTGGGAATCGGAGGCTGACCCCGGCAATGTCCCCGCTGCCCACCCACCCCCTATCCGTCCCCACAGTGAGCGGTGAGGGGAGCAGGGCGCGTTTAACTTGCCCACTTTCGAATTCCCAAAGTGAGGGGAGCTAAACAGATGTAACATGACTTGGGAATCCAAAAGAGATTTTGGTTAAAGTGACACAATTTAGTTTTGTGTAATATTGCATAGAAATCATTCAAAATGATTGCCAAACACTTACATTGTTATTGTTATTTAGCATTGCCTAACATTTTCAGAAGGTTGAAAATTAAAATTAATGCTTTCTGAAAGCAGTTTATGTGCTTCTTCCATCAAACATGAAAACACTCTGGCTCATGCCAGCGAGCCCAGCTTCACCCAGGGCAGTGGAGGTGGAGGGGACTTTCAACCTACCTCTGCCCAGGCAGCAACCCAAAGATGTGGGCTGGATCCCCACACACACACACACTGCCTTGTACCCCCCCCCCAATTGTTTTCATAGGTTTGTTAGTAATGGTGAATGGGTGCCAATTGCAAGTAAATACAGTGGTGCCTCGCAAGACGAAAATAATCCGTTCCGCGAGTCTCTTCGTCTAGCGGTTTTTTCATCTTGCGAAGCAACCCGCTTAGCAGATTAGCGCTATTAGCGGCTTAGCGGCTAAAAGGCTATTAGCGGCTTAGAAAAAGGGGGGGGAGCGAAAAAAATCGCAAGGCTCGCAAGACGATTCCGTCTTGCGAAGCAAGCCCATAGGGAAAATCGTCTTGCGAAGCAACTCAAAAACGGAAAACCCTTTCGTCTAGCGGGTTTTTCGTCTTGCGGGGCACCACTGTATTAGGTAAGCCTTGGCCGATTCAAATGTTTACTAAATACAAGAAAAATAAACATTCACAGATCACTCTCCAGGGCATCAGAAAATTTTCTGGGGCAAACAGTTTTTTCTAGACACACGTATTAGCCTGTACAACTAACCCTAAATTGCCTAGGAAATTTTCTGGGAAGTCAACATTGCTGGCACCACTCCTGCCAAGAGCCACGTCTCTCTTTTTGGTGCCCCAAAAGGAAGTCATGGGTGGGGGGGATGCCTTGTGGGGACACACACCTTTCCTGACCCCACTAAATGCCTCCACAAGCAATTGGACCTGGTGATGGGTGGGATCTCTGTATCCATGCCAGGTGTGCATGATGGATTCCTCGCTTTCCTTGCAGATGACGGTGCATAATTTGTACATATTTGACCGCAATGGAATCTGCCTGCACTACAGTGAGTGGAACCGGAAGAAGCAAGCTGGCATCTCTAAAGACGAGGTGAGACTTTAGGCTTGAGATATGGATGCCAAGGCTTAAGCCTGCTAAGGACATAGTGTTATAAGAATTTTAAGGTCTCAAATATGGAGTAAATATTCATAAATGCACACATATCTAAATATACGATATGTCTGAAATAGTATCAGAGAGCAATCCTGAAGCCATTTTGACTCTCCCAGTGGCCTCAAATATTCCTCTGCAGTAAGGGAGGCAAATGGGGAAAGTCTTTTTGCTTGCAAATCCTGACTTAAGGGTGCATTTGTGTATGAATAGGGTGATCCAGCGACCTGGATTCAGGAACTAAAGTATTAACCATTACAAAAGAATAACCAGTCTTCCACTGCAGTCAATGACCATTATCAGGTATCCTGGCAGGCAGGATTTCTGCTGTAGACCGCCTCCTCCTGTGATGTATGCATGATGTTTTGGGTGGTCTTGGGCTACAGGGTGGGCAATTTCAATAGTCTATATAAGGGCTTGCACACCATTGTTCAGGGTTCTCCTCCCTCCTGCATGTGGTGAGTGGGGACCCTGTTGCAACAGTTCCTTGAATAAAGATCAGGCTTACTAGCCGCTTTGCTTCTCAATATACTCTGGTTGGCCTCTGTTTTTTTCTCCTACCGATAGGGAACCCACTTAAGGACTCTATATGGGCTCCGTAATACCCCATAAGGGAAAGGGAGCAATTTTTTACTTATAACTATAGGAAGAGCCCTGCTGGATCAGGCCAGTTACTTATCCTGTTCTCACAATGGCCAATCAGATGTTTCAGTGGGAAACTCACAAACAGGATTCAAGCACAAGATCCCTCTCCCCTCCTGCTGCTTCCAGCAAATGGTATTCAGAAGCATTGCTGCCTCTGACCATGGAGGCAGACAATAGGCATCATGGCTAGAGTCAGTTGATAGCCCTTCTCCTCCAAGAGTTTGTCTAATCCTCTTTTTAAACCATCTGTTGGTTGGTGGCCATCACTGCCACCTGTGGGAGTGAGTTCCATAGTTTAACTGTGCACTGCACCAGTCTCTTACTGGGATCTCTGCCCACCCACCCTTGATTTGTGGGGGGGGGGGAGCCTGTTCAGAGGTGAGGGAAACCACGTCAGAATGCAAGTAGATAAATAGGCACCGTTCCGGTGGGAAGGTAAAACGGCATTTCCGTGCACTGCTCTGGTTCGCCAGAAGCGGCTTAGTCATGCTGGCCACATGACCCGGAAGCTGTACGCCGGCTCCCTCGGCCAATAAAGCGAGATGAGCACCACAACCCCAGAGTTGGCCACGACTGGACCTAATGGTCAGGGGTCCCTTTACCTTTACCTCTGTTAATCTTGCGTGGTGCAGAGCCTTGAAATGATGGCTCTGTTCCAAGTGGGCAAAACTAAGCTGGCAAGTAATTTTTTTAAAAGTGTGACGCTTAAACTAAGTGAAAGATTAATCAGCAGCTGTGCAGTGATATCCTGACTACCTTTTCTGGCCATTTAAAACCACCACCAGCAAACCCACTTTAGCTTCCCAGTGCTTCTTCAAGCCAGGGATAGGAACAGCTTTGCGCTGGCTGCCTTCCTCCTGCCTTTGAAGAGCGAAAGCAGGAGTAAGTACAGTCGTATCTTGGAAGTCGAACGGAATCCATTCCGGAAGTCCGTTTGACTTCCAAAACGTTCAGAAACCAAAGCGCGGCTTCTGATTGGCTGCAGGAAGCTCCAGTCCGCTCTGGACGTTCGGCTTTCAAAAATAATTCGAAAACCGGAACACTCACTTTGGGTTTTGATTGTTTGGGAGCCGATTTGTTCGGGAGCCAAGGCATTTGAGATCCAAGGTATGACTGCAGCGATCTCTCCCCTAGCTGGAAAAAGAATAGAAAGCTGCCTTATATCCTGGATCCATGCAGCTCAGTCAAGTCCGAGGCCGTTCCTAGGCCCATGTGCTTTGCCCCTGATCAGGACACACAGTTGAAATAGTGTTCCAGTGCCCTCTTCCTTATTTGGAGGAGAGCAGAGCGCTGTGGGTAGGCGCTGTTTTGCCTTGGAGGAACTTCTGCCCCAGGTAAGCCAGCAAAGGGGAATCATTCTTGTGCCACAGAATGACAATACACATTCAGCAGAGGAGAAGGGGAAAATGTGAGGATGTTTTCCTTTTATGCAACATTGCAAGCCTGTTCTAAGACACATTTAGCACTGTGAGCGTGGCAGGGACCCTGAAGTGTAAAGTGTAATTCTTCCATGGAAGGGGATTGTTCAGCAACATCACACTTCTAAGGTAAAGGTAAAGGGGCCCCTGACCATTAGGTCCAGTCGTGACCGACTATGGGCACTCATCTCGCTTTATTGGCCGAGGGAGCTGGCGTACAGCTTCCGGGTCATGTGGCCAGCATGACTAAGCCGCTTCTGGCGAACCAGAGCAGCGCACGGAAACGCTGTTTACCTTCCCGCTGGAGTGGTACCTATTTATCTACTTGCACTGGCGTGCTTTCAAACTGCTAGGTTGGCAGGAGGAGGGAACGAGCAACGGGAGCTCGCCCCGTCGCGGAGATTTGAACCGCCGACCTTCTGATCGGCAAGTCCTAGGCTCTGTGGTTTAACCCACAGCACCACCTGCTGTGGGTTAAACCACCCGCACACTTCTACCTCCTGTACTAATCCGTGGTGCAAAGCACAAGCTCTGTCTGGGGAAACATGAAATGGTGGTGGTGTTTACGTGCATGGGGCAGGGAGAGGGAAGGGTGTGAGTAAAAAGAAAAGTTCAAAAGCTTCCTAGCTTGAATGATACTATGAGTTTAGCAGCCTTTAGCAGCTGCCACTTTCTAATTTGGGGGATTCCGGTGTTGAAGCTTCCAGGGGAACAGCAAGCTCCATATGGGGAAGTTCTGCTGGTTATGTGACTTTGGGTGATTCACATCAGATAAGACGTTCTGTTTCTTGAAGAGGCGCTCAAGAGGCCAGAGGATTACATTCAGTAGCCAACCATTAGAAATTCCCCCTAGTAAAGTTGGTTTTTGTGACGCAATCATCTCTACAGTACAGTGGTACCTCGGGTTACATACGCTTCAGGTTACAGACTCCGCTAACCCAGAAATAGTGCTTCAGGTTAAGAACTTTGCTTCAGGATGAGAACAGAAATCGTGCTCCAGCAGCGGTGCAGCGGCAGCAGGAGGCCCCATTAGCTAAAGTGGTGCTTCAGGTTAAGAACAGTTTCAGATTAAGTACGGACCTCGGGAACGAATTAAGTACTTAACCCGAGGTAACACTGTATATTCTTAGATTCAGCTTCAGAAGGAATATTTTGTATTTTGGGGTTTTTTAGTGAGTTAGTTTTGGCTATGATGCAAGTCAGCTTTGCACATGTTATGGGTTAACTTTCCTAGGCACTACTGTTGCTGTAACATATCGTACCCTAATGTCTATCGGTTGCATTGATTACAGTGGTGCCTCGCAAGACGAATGCCTCGCAAGACAAAAAACTCGCTAGACGAAAGGGTTTTTTGTTTTTTGAGCTGCTTCGCAAGACGATTTTCCCTATGGGCTTGCTTCGCAAGACGGAAACGTCTTGCAAGTTTGTTTCCTTTTTCTTGACACTGTTAATACAGTTGTGACTTGACTTCGAGGAGCAACTCATAGAACGCGGTGTGGTAGTCTTTTTTGAGGTTTTTAAAGACTTTGGTGATTTTTGAAGCTTTTCCAAAACTTTCCCGACACCGTGCTTCGCAAGACGAAAAAATCACAAGACGACAAAACTCGCAGAACGAATTAATTTCGTCTTGCGAGGCACCACTGTATCTCTTAAGGGTCCCGTTGGCTTTGTCTGTGGTTTCTGTGCCATGGATGTCCTTGTACAGTTAGCCACAGGGTGGCGGCCAGAGCAGAGCAAATGAGCATGACGGAGTTCTTCATCCTTGCCATGGAATCTCACCCCATTCTCCCTATGAACACATTCATTTTCTTTCTCTCTCTCTCCCTCCCTCCCTGCAGGAGTTCAAGCTGATGTATGGCATGCTCTTCTCCATCCGCTCCTTCGTTAGCAAGATGAGCCCTGTGGACATGTATCCTTTCTGCTTAAACAGCAGCCTCAAAAGTATCACTCTTGCGGTTTTTTGACAGAGGGAGCCTGACTGAACGCTTTTTCATTCACGTGGAGTGGGGGAAGTAGCATTATCTACCATATTTTTCGCTCTATAGGACGCACTTTTCCCCCTCCAAAAACTAAGGGGAAATGTGTGTGCATCCTATAGAGCGAATGCAGGCTGCGTGGCTAAGTCCAAAGCTGCGCAGCGCTCCGTCTCACTGTTCTAGCTTGGGGTTAGCTGCGCAAAGCCTCCGGAGGGCAGCGGGGTGCCTTCATCCCGCTACCCTGTGGAGGCTACAAAGGCTGTCCCTGCAGACAGAATAGTGCGGAGCGCTCCGTCTCACTGTTCTAGCTTGCGGATGGCTGCGCAAAGCCTTCACCCCGCTGCCCTGCGGAGGCTACGAAGGCTGTATGAAGGTGGGGGGAAGGCTGCAATGCTTCCCCCCACCACCAGCCCCACAAGCTCAGAGGGCAGCGGGAAGGCGGCGCGCCACCTCTGCGCTGCTCCCCGACCTGGTTTGGAGGCTGGTGGTGGGGGAAAGCAGTGCTTCCCCCCCCCCCCCGCCAGCCCCAAAGAGCAGGTCGAAAGGAACCCAAAGCCTCCGGAGCCCAGCGGGAGCTCCAGCTGAGCTCCAGAGGCTTCGGGTGAACGCACCTTGTTTTAGAGGGGGAGAACAAGAAAAAAAATGTTTCCCCCCCCCCCCCGTTCTCCCCCTCCTATGGTCCGGTGCGTCCTATAGAGCGAAAAATACGGTCCTTAAGAGTAAAACTTGTTTGGGAGGGAGGGGGCTTAGCCTGCTGCCTTTGCCTGACGTCTCCTTCCTCCAGTTCTCCTTAATTCCTTGCACCCCAGGAAAGACGGCTTCCTCGCCTTCCAGACCAGCAAGTACAAGCTTCACTACTATGAGACACCTACGGGACTCAAGGTGGTGATGAACACAGACTTAGGGGTGGGCAACATCCGAGATATCCTGCATCAGATCTACAGCTATGTGAGTCGGAATTGGGGGGGTGCCGCCTCCTCCCCTGCTCCCCATCCCATGATAATCCCTAGGATGGCTCTCCTGTGTACAGATGCCCTCCAAACGACTCTGCAGTGAAGGAAGAGGAGTATTCACATGGCACCCGCTGCCACTGCCGCTCATTTGCTAAATGGTTCTGCGTAAACACCAAAGCTATGTTCGCATAAGCAAAGGCAGAATAATAATAATAATAATAATAATAATAATAATAATAATAATAATAATAATAATAATAATAATTTATTATTTATACCCTGCCCATCTGGCTGTGTCCCCCCAGCCACTCTGGGCGGCTTCCAACAAAACACTAAAATACAATAACCTATTAAACATTAAAAGCTTCCCTAAACAGGGCTGCCTTTAGTTTGGTAGTTATTTTTCTCTTTGACATCTGGTGGGAGGGCGTTCCACAGGGCGGGTGCCACTACCGAGAAGGCCCCCTGCCTGGTTCCCTGTAACTTGGCTTCTCACAGCGAGGGAACCGCCAGAAGGCCCTCGGTGCTGGACCTCAGTGTCCGGGCAGAACGATGGGGGTGGAGACGCTCCTTCAGGTATACTGGACCAAGGCCGTAGCAGGTGCAGGTCCTAGAGGGTTTATTCCCCCAGCCGCCTCGGTTGCGCTGGTTGGGGTTGATGGAGGCTGGGAGTCCAGCAACAGCTGGAGGCCACCGGGAGGGTGTGTCCTACAGCAGCCGTCCTCAACCTTGGGTCTCTAGATGCTGTTGGACTACAACTCCCATCATTCAGCATGGCCAGGTATGATGGGACTTCTAGTCCAAGAATGTCTGAGGCCCCAGGTTGGGAAAGGCTGATTATTGTGTGCGATGAGGTTATTAGCGGGTAGAAGGATATGCCTCTGGCTTCTAAAGAGGGTCTGATTTGGCCCCAACCAGCCTGTTGCCTTCCTGATGTTTGGGACTGCAGCTCCCAGCACCCCAGTTCAAACTGCTGGAGGGCACCAGGCTGGGGAAGGCTGAGCTAAGGTTTCGTTTTGTTTTCAGGCTATTGGTTAATAGCACTAGAAGTTAACCATGGGTAATTTCTGTTAACTATGGGCATGTTATCAGAATTGCGGGGGGGGGAGGCGCGGGGAGTGGCTTATACCTTGGACGTCAAACGCCTTGGCTCCCAAACAATCGAAACCCGGAAGTGAGTGTTCCGGTTTTTTAACGTTCTTTTGGAAACCGATGTCCGCCAGGGCTTCCGCAGCTTCCGATTGGCTGCAGGAGCTTCCTGCAGCCAATCAGAAGCCGCGCTTTGGTTTCTGAACATTTTGGAATTCAAACGGACTTCTGGAACGGATTCTGTTTGACTTCCAGGATATGGCTGTATAGTGATTATTAATGCAGTATTTAAAATTTGTTAATTTTCCCCAGTACTGATTTTTTTCTGTTGGTGTACTTTTTATATTTTATGGGTAAACTGAGTAAAAAATGAGAGAGAGAGGTAGCAGCAGGTGAAACAGATCAACTGGTCAGGCCAAAGCTCTATATATTTTTTGTTAAAAAGCAGTTACCTGATTTTGAGAGACCACCAGATTAGGGTTTAGGGGTGCAGCCTTTCAGAAAGGAGCCCAGACTCCTGCTTCCTCTGGGCCTTTCATTCATCTCCTCCAGTGCATTTGCCCCCTTCCTTGTCCAGCTGCACTTCACTCCAGCAGTTGCTTTCACTCAGTGGTTGCCAACATGCCAAAACAGACGGGAGTCCTTTATTTCCCACTTCTGTGTTGGCAGCAGGGAGAGTGGTACTCTTAGGGTATCTGCTGCTGTCCTGAGAGAAGTGTGAATGATCCCAAAGTAAGAACGAAACATCAGTCACTGGGGTTAGTCAAAATAGAAATCTTTTTTGGAGCGGCAGGTCTCCCAATGTTTGTTTTTCATTTCCCCTGAAGCTGTTTCAGTTGGGGTCCAGAGGGGAGGAGGGGTATTCTCATCTCACTGACCTCGTGATTCTCCTTTCAACCAGCTTCTTCCCTCTCCTCCCTAGATCTACGTGGAGTATGTGGTCAAAAACCCTCTGTGCAGCTTGAACGAGAACATCCAGAGCGAGCTCTTTCGGAGCAAGCTGGACAGCTTCATCCGTGGGCTGCCCTTCTTCTCAGCTCGGGCAGGCTAAGTGGTGCGGGTGGGTGCTTGCCTTTTCCCGTTCCGTTGCTGTAAATACTACAGTTCCCACGATGCACGTGGAGTAGTGTCTGGCAGCGAGCTTGGCACTTTCTTCTGGGTGTGCCATCGTCAGAACAACAGTCATTCCCTGCACCTCAACCATAACGGACTTGTGGCCCAAACCAGAACTCTGAGCTTGGATACCTTTTGGACAGTGGCTTTCTCCACAGTGCTTTCCTCCGTTCCCTCCACCGCCCCTTGACCCACGGCTCCACCTTTTGTCCCATTGCGTATTCCCCTTTGGTTGGGACCCCAAGAGCCCCTCTTCCTTCCCCTCCTGACCATGGCACACAGTCCTTTGCCAGCCCAGGCCTCTTCCTTTCTATTTATAGAGCTTTGCCTCATCCCTTTCTTCCCCCTCTGCCCCCCAAACTCCTATTTATAGCCAGTCTCTTCTCTTGCCTTTCCAGTCCAGTGCTCTCCCAGCCTGGGCATGACATCAAGTGCCCCGGGGCTAGGGGGGGTGCTGCTTGGACGCAGCGGAAGATGCAGCGGCACGTCCTTCCCAAGCGCATCTCGCGAAAAGACGGGCCAGCAATCCAGCTTCACGTTTCCGCCACCAGGAAAGGTCGGCGAGCATCACAGGTCGAGAAGAGAGCTGTACGTTTCTTTTTTGCTGGATCCACCTTTCGTGAATTAAACAAAATGAGATCAGAAGTTGCTTTGATCACCCTCGGCCCTCCCTAGGACTCTCTGGGCGTTGCTGGTTAACTCTGTTGCCGTTGCCCCCCAGACTGTGTTATGTTCGCAATGGCTACTGGGCCACCTCCACAAAAACCCCTTATGTCAAGATGAGAGTCTCAGCTTCTTCGTCGCCCTGCAAACGAGACGCCGAAGGCCAGCGAGGCAGCAGCTCTTCTTCAAATTGGACTAACTGGCTCGTTAAATCGTCGGTCTCAAGTTCTTGCGTCACACGGGGCTTTTTACCTCCTCGGGCTTCGATGTTCAGAGAAGGGAAGCAAAGCGAAAGCATCGGCAGATACACCTCCAGGCCAGAAATTAAGTGCCTGGGTTAACCACCGTCTCGCTTTCCCCCACCCCCCTTGAAAGGCCACGGCCAGTTGCGCCCTTCCCTTACTCGCTGTGGTTCATTCTGAACGTTTTAAGCTCTGGGAGTTCTGTGTGTGATTCAAGCTTGTTTCCCACTTCTTTAAATGCGAGCTGATTAAAAAAATTATGTCTCTTGTTCTCTCTTGTCATGATCGATGTTGCATGCTTTGAAAGGTTTCATATTGCCGTGCTGGTGATCTCGGTCCGTTAAACGGTATAAAACCTTAGCCTGGAGATGCATCCAATTAAATGCCCCTCAAGGTCACTTGGTGGATGGCTTGGACTTGCATTCAAGGGCTGGCGAAATGGCATTGTTGAAGCATGACATAAGAAGCTGCTGCTGGATCAGACCAGTGGCCCATCTAGTCCGGCCACCCAGATGTCAGTGGGAAACCCACAGGCAAGAGCCCTCTCCCCTCCTGTGGCACCCTGTGGCTGGCATTCAGGAGCATAACCCATGACAGTGGGCTAGGTGCTCCAGTGGTCTGATCCAGCAGTCTCTTCTTATGATAACCTCTCTCATGCCCTGGTGCCCTCCCTCCCAAAGAGGAGGCTTATTTATATTTCTTTAGAATACTTACACCCTGCTCTTCTAAGCGGCTTACAAAAGATTGTCAAAACAAGATGACCCTTGAATCTTGTAAAGGTAAAGGGACCCCTGACCGTAAGGTCCAGCCATGGGCGACTCTGGGGTTGCGGCGCTCATCTCGCTTTATTGGCCAAGGGAGCTGGCATACAGCTTCCGGGTCTTGAGGCCAGCATGACTAAGCCGCTTCTGCCGAACTAGAGCAGCGCACAGAAACGCTGTTTACCTTCCCACTGGAGCGGTACCTATTTATCTACTAGCACTTTGACGTGCTTTGGAACTGCTAGGTTGGCAGGAGCAGGGACCGAGCAATGGGAGCTCACCCCGTCACGAGGATTCGAACCGCTGACCTTCTGATCGGCAAGCCCTAGGCTCTGTGGTTTAACCCACAGCGCCACCTGTGTCCCTTGAATCTAGTACAGACACATAAATCACAAGGGTGTCCTATGGGGACCAGGATTGTGCACATTTGCTGTGCACATGCAGACGGTTATGGGTGTCCCCTGGTGTCCCAGCTCGCACCCAGGACCGCTGAATGCCGGAAGTGTCTCAGCAAAGAAACAAGGGCAGGTCAGCTGCCAGGTATCTCCTGCCGCCAAAAGGCAGAGCAGAGCGCCCATCCTCCCTGCTGGGCTTTAGTGTCTGGCGGGGATTATCTTCGCTTAATCCCTCAGGACAACAAGGACAAGCAGGTAGCGAGGAGAGGGGAGCGGCATGTCTGAGAATCGAAAAACGCTGGCTGGATTCAGCCCTGTATTCTATAGAGCCGGGCCCAAGTTTTCCTCCTCCTCCTCCTCCTGAGAATGCCATCTCCTGGAACAGCTGACCCCATCTTCCTTTTTCAAATGAGCCTGCCTAAAATAAAACCTTGAAGTCACAACGGAAGTCCTGCTCTAAGTGAAGTCTTAAATCTCCCTGCTTCCAGAGCCCAGAAGACTACACCTCCAGGATCCTTCTCGTCAGGTTGCATGCCCCAAGACAGGACTAGCAAGCATGACTGATGACCCTCCAAGCATCAGGGTGCCCCTGGTTTGATCCTAGTTTATAAAGGTAACAACTCAGGATCTTGGCAGCGCCCCCTGGGTTATCGCCAGCGGCTCCCATTTATCCTCAGTGGCCTGAGCATAGAAACCTGCTGGTGCCTGTTCAGATAACCACAGTATTTTATTTTTAAATGTAATAATATGTCTTTCACCACCCTTCCCCAACCTGGTACCCTTCAGATATTTGGGGTTACAACTCCCATCATCCCCAACAGAATACGGCAGTGCTGATGGGAGTTGCTGTCAAAAATATCTTTAAGGTGCTGCGTTGTGAAGGCAGAAGGAAGGCTGTCTCAAGTCTCTCTCTTGGCAGAACTTTCCGCTGCCATTGAATGTCTGGACAGGTCCTTTGACTCACCCTGCCATTTTCAAAGAGATGCCCACAGCCCTTTGCGAAGGATTTATTCAGATATCCTCCACATGTTGTCTCGGTTTAGAAGTTGTAGTTGAGGTTGTTTTGCGGTTGGGGCTGGGGGGAGGGGAGGATGTAGCAAGGAGGACAAAAGGCATCGGTTTCCATGTCCGTTGCATTTCTGCAGCCGTTCACCTTCTGCCCAAAAATTGCATTAACGTGTCTCACTGTTGCAAAATCATGTAATTTAGGTAATTCACACAATTACATGCTGAACATTGTCATCAGAGTATTCCACCCCATTCACATCAGTGCAAACGGGGACATGACAGCATATTGTTTGCAGACTGGATTGGTTTCTGTTCGGGACGTGGGGGCGAATCAGCGAATTTCCACTCCCGTTTCTGTATTCATCAAAATTTCCCCATTCCCCAAAGGAAGTCATCCTTTCTGTAAAGGTAAAGGACCCCTGATCATTAGGTCCAGTCGTGACCAACTCTGGGGTTGCGGCGCTCATCTCACTTTACTGGCCGAGGGAGCCGGCGTACAGCTTCCGGGTCATGTGGCCAGCATGACTAAGCCGCTTCTGGTGAACCAGAGCAGCACATGGAAATGCCGTTTACCTTCCCACCAGAGCAGTACCTATTTATCTACTTGCACTTTGAGGTGCTTTTGAACTGCTAGGTGGGCAGGAGCAGGGACCGAGCAACGGGAGCTCACCCCGTCGCGGGGATTCGAACCGCCGACCTTCTGATCGGCAAGTCCTAGGCTCTGTGGTTTAACCCACAGCGCCACCCATGCCCCTTTCTGTACCGCAGAGTTAAACTGGGGAACTCGCTCCCACGGGAGGCAGCGATGGCCGCCAACTCAGATGACTTTCAAAGAGAAATCAGACAAATTCATAGTGAATAAAGCTATCGGCGGCAACCAGCCATGATGGTTATGTTGGGTCTCCACACTTGGGGGCAGTAAATGCTTCTGAATACCAGTTGCTGTAAGCCACAGGAGGAGAGAGGGCTGTTGTGCTCGGTTCCTTCGTGTGGGCTTCCGACTTGGGCATTTGGCTGGCCACTGTGAGATCAGGAAGCTGGACTAAGTGGGCTGTTATCTTAAGGAGGATAAATGCAGGGGTGAATCTGGATTTCCACATTGAGCTGGGGTTTGGCAGCATTTATTCAGCAGAAGGACTCCACTCGTCGGCCCTTCCTCCTCCTGGGCCCTCCCTGCCCACTCGCCGATTTGCTCTCTTTTTATCTCCCCACCCGCCTGACACACATACCCATTAGCTTTCCCGCTAATCCCAGTGAGCTGACCAGGTGGTGTTAGGCCAGAGGCAGGGTGCTTTGGGTGTGCTGAGAAGCTTTGAATTTTGCACAGTTCCCGAGTTTAATTCCTACAAAGCCCCAAATGGGAACGGCGTCGGTGGGGCCTGCCAGCACTTGGCCCAGCTGGGGTTTAACTCTTGGTAGTGTGTGCAGCTGTAGCGTCTAACTGCTGCCTTTGAGGGCACAGTGAGGACCTGGCAGGTGGGCAAAATTGTCAATTTCGGTTTTTCTCATTTTTCCCATCTGTTTGCAATTCTTTTTTTAAAAAAACCCAGCATTTTAGTGGTTTGACTCTCTCCTAATAACACACATTTTTGTGTGCAGGTTTCCCTAATACAGTGGTACCTCGGGTTACATACGCTTCAGGTTACAGACTCTGCTAACCCAGAAATAGTGCTTCAGGTTAAGAACTTTGCTTCAGGATGAGAACAGAAATCGTGCTCCGGCAGCGTGGCGGCAGCGGGAGGCCCCATTAGCTAAAGTGGTGCTTCAGGTTAAGAACAGTTTCAGGTTAAGTACGGACCTCCGGAACAAATTAAGTACTTAACCTGAGGTACCACTGTATGTGCATATTAAAAGCCATATTTCCCCTTCTATTTATTTTTTCTTTAACATAATGCATCATTGCATGTTTTCATATGCATGCTCTCCCTTGACATGTGTGTTTTTGTACACACTGCTAGACAGGATAAATTGCATTGCAAAATTCGGAGACATGCAGGTTTGGGAATTTGATTCGCGTATCATTTCAGAAAGTGCAAATTAGATTCAGTTCGCATTTACAGGCAAATCTACCTGACTTCTTTCCCATCCCGAGTGGAGGCTCCTCAGTGGCTATGAGTGCTTTTCCCCAGCTCTGGCTGGTTCACCAGCTAGAGCCCCTTTGGGGCAGAGATGACGTAGACACTGTACTCCATGCTCTGATAACTTCCAGACTGGAGCCTAGCAGTGCCCCCTCTGCGTGGGGCTGCGACACAGAAACTCCAGTCGCTCCAAAATGTAGCAGCCAGATTACTGGTGGGGGTTTCCCTGTAGGTCTCATATAACCCCTGTTTTAAAACAGCTCCACTGGTGGCCAGTTCATTTCCAGACGCATTGGAAGGTGCTGGAGGGTTTAAAACCCTAAACAACTCAGGCCCCAAATATCTGAAAGACTGCCTCCTTCCTGAAGACCCGCTTGGGTGCTGAGTTAAGCAGAGTGGACCCTTTTGGTAGTTCCTCAGGGACGCGGGTGGCGCTGTGGGTTAAACCACAGAGCCTAGGACTTGCCGATCAGAAAAGTTGGCGGTTCGAATCCCCGCGCCGGGGTGAGCTCCCGTTGCTCGGTCCCTGCTCCTGCCAACCTAGCAGTTCGAAAGCACGGCAAAGTGCAAGTAGATAAATAGGGACCGCTCTGGTGGGAAGGTAAACGGCGTTTCCGTGCGCTGTTCTGGTTCGCCAGAAGCGGCTTAGTCCTGCTGGCCACATGACCCAGAAGCTGTACGCCAGCTCCCTCGGCCAATAAAGTGAGATGAGCGCCGCAACCCCAGAGTCGGCCACGACTGGACCTAATGGTCAGGGGTCCCTTTACCTTTACCTGCCCACAGAGGCTCGGGGTGGCAGTCCAGGAGAGGGCCTTCTCTGTGGTGACCCATAAGCTGTGAAACAGAGGTGTATCTGGCACCATCATACAGCTTCTGGCAAATGCTGAAGACATTCAGGGTCCCTTCCCAGTCTTCAACTCTATGTTTCTATGAAACTCCCCCTGCTTTTGTCTTTAAGACCAAATTCCTTTCTGTAAGTTGTTTTAAACTTTTTCATACCACATTTTAATGTTGTGAGCCTTCCTTTAC